GCCAAGTTAGGTCCAGATCCATCATTGTTTGAGTCCACAGTGCTCTCTGGATGTAGGTGTACTACAACTCCAAAACTCAAGATCAATGCCCACCTGTTGGTCATGGGAGAACTGTGTGCCTAGTTTGGTTGAATTCCATTGTTGGTGGGGTTCAGAATGCTCTTTGATTGTAGGTGAACTATAAATCCCAGCAACTACAACTCCTAAATGACAAAATCCATTTTTTTGAGTGAAGGACATACATTGGGTTGTTGGGTGTCTTGTGTCCAAATTTGGTGTCAATTCGTCCAGTGGTTTTTGAGTTCTGTTAATCCCACAAACAAATATTACATTTTATTTATATAGATTTTAATTTGTTTCTATTAGACATACTCAGTGGGGCCCATCTTATGAAACCTCTTGCCAACTGGAAGCTAGGTATCTGAAGCATAAAGAAGCTGGAAATAAGGATGAAGGAGCGAGTTATATGGACTATGAAAAAAGCGAATCAGATTTGCAGAGCAGAGATTTCAGAAGCCTGTCCTCTTCAGAGGAAACTATTGTTCGATACTTGAATGACCGACCAGCAATTGATGCCTTGCAATCTTCAGATGTTTTTGTAAAATCTGTAACTCCTACAAGATCAGAGGAGGAAAGGACTGAAGGATCCCGAGGAGATGACTACATCAAAATGTCTTTGAGTATTACTCAGGAAACTGAACAAAAAAATTTACCGTTGGTAGAGTCTTCAGCTTCTTCTGCCAGTACCTCTAGTGCCCACAGACTAGATATTTTGAAACAACATCAGCATGATGCTAAACTGGAAAAGCTGAAAGAACGGATAAGAAAGCAGTGGGACCACCCAGAAGATAGAGGGCATCATTTGGATTACACAGATCATCCCATAAGTACACTAGTTTCTGATAATACAGTGACTCCTAAAATCAGAAAAGTAGCAGCTGCACCTCCTGCTCCTTCGTACAAAGGTACATACATTGGTGTTTAATTCATGGCAGAAACCAAGACTGTTTGCGACAAACTTGTAGAGAATGCTGCCTAAACCAGACATGTTTTAAGGAAGGGATTTAATTCTTTCTGATCCATCCTTCAAGTCTTTACTGCATTTTCTATCAATGTCATTGTTATTTAGCTACCTTCTGAATTTATCCTTACTCAAATGCTATCTAAGGGTTGTTTCGATCTTTCTGTTATTAAAAATGTCATCAGAAGCACTTTAACTACTTGTTAGGTTGCTCTCCCTTCATTTCTTTTAAAACCCTGCTATCTGATACATCCTGCCTCTGTTCATGCCCAGCAATTTAAAAAAAATTAAATTATTACATTTGGCCCAGCCGTAGGTTTTTAAATCCTTATGTGTTACTGTTTACATGTGAGTTATATTAATTGTTTTGTTTTTGCTTTTTTTGGTTTTGTTTTATTGATGTATTGTCGGGCTTGGCCTCATGTAAGCCACTCCGAGTCCCCTTGGGGAGATGGTGGCGGGGGATAAATAAATTATTATTATTATTATTATTATTATTATTATTATTATTATATACAGCTATGTGGAAGGGACCTCAGATAACCCGGTTCAAAGATGGTGGTGGGGTATAAATAATAATAATAATAATAATAATAATAATAATTATTATTATTATTATTATTATTATTATTACAAGCATTTGGCTTTTGTTTGGGATGTTGTAAAATATTGTTGATCATATGATGATCATGGCAGCATAAAATTCTACCAGTGAAATTTTTCTGATAACACTGTTATCAAATAAATATTGTGTGAAATTTCTGACATCATGTGGGCAGCACATACATAATGCATTGATTTCTTTTCAGCATTTCTGTAGGCATTGATCAGAATGAATTCTGAACCTACTCTATATTTACCCTTTCTGTCATTTAGGGTTTTTTATAATCTCACTCCCATAGTCTTCTGGTACACAATTCTGTATCAAGAAACATCTACCTCATATGCTTTATATAGCACAGATTTGGGACCTGAATTTCTTTAATTCAAGTTAGAAATACCATATATGCTCGAGTATAAGCCGACTCGAATATAAGCCGAGTCACCTAATTTTACCACAAAAAAACGGATTGATTTGAGTATAAGCAGAGGGTGGGAAATGCAGCAGCTACTGATAAATTGCAAAATAAAAATTGATACCAATTAAATTACATTAATTGAGGAATCAATAAGTTATATATTTTTGAATACTTACAAAATTTTTAATTTAAGATAAGACTGCCCAACCCTGATTAAATGATTATTTACCTTCTTCAATGTAAATGTGGTTACATATCCTTCCAATTATAATAGAGAGTAACATAATAAATGTAATAATAACAATAATGATAAAAAGAGTAAAATAATGAATGTAGCAATTTATTTATTTATTTATTTATTTACAGCATTTATATTCTGCCCTTCTCACTCCACAGGGGACTCAGGGCGGATTACAATGTACACATATATGGCAAACATTCAATGCCAATTTGACATACAACGTATACAGACATACACAGAGGCTATTTAACTTTTTCTGGCTGCCAGGGGAGCTGTCGCTTTCATTGTCCATCTGCGACACTGATGAAGTACTTCCGCATTCCCCGCATGCTTTTCTGGAGTGCTTTTTGCTGGTGTCTTTTTATGGCCTCATAAATTAGTTAATTAGCAATAACAACAATTATACAGTAAAATGATAAATGTAATAATAATAAATAGAATAAAATAATAAATGAAATGAAAACAACAACAACAACAGAGTAAAATAATAAATAACTTTGACTAGAGTATAAGCTGGGGGGGGGGGGGACTTTTTCAGCCTAAAAAAGGTCTGAAAAACTGGGCTTATACTCTAGTATATACAGTATATTAAATGCCTAAAACAGATTTTGTTCACATAAACTTGACTAAGTGTGGGATTGTGAGCTGCCTTGAGTCCCCATGGGGAGAAAGGCAGGGTATAGATTAAGTTAATAATAAAAATAGTAGTAATGTACTGACTGCCTGTGTTAACCAATTGAAGTAAACGTTTCTAAATACAATTATATTACTGTTAGGTTTCAATCCATCTGAAGCCAAGATTCGTACTCCTGATGGAAAAATATGGCGTGAAGAGGAATTTCTCAATCTCAGTAGAGAGTTATGTCGAGACTTAGAACTCCAGTTGACAGGTGAGTACTAGGCTGATCTTACAAAAATTTGCATGCAAATCACAAAGTGATTATAAATTTAATATTATTTATGTATTTATTATTTGACTTGTAATTATTTAACAGTTCATAATTTACAGTTCTGTTTCCCAGGCAGGTGCAGAGGAAGTATCTTTTAGTTCAGCTGTCGCTCTTTTCTGTTTTTTAGCAGTCTTTTTATGTGTGGTTCTGATGTACAGGCATTGGGAACATAAATCTCAGGGACCTGGATAAAGAGAATATTACTATTTCATTTGCTTTCTATTGAATGTGATCATCGTTTCATGTATTTTATAAGGATCCAGATGCTACTAGAAGGATTCTTTATGAACTCTGGTGAAACCTATGGATGTTGCTTTCCCATTGTTGCATGGGTTACTGGTGGAGACTTAAGCTTTGCTAGTTGGCGTATATCTTCCCACCTACATCTTCTTTTCTAGGGTTCCTTTCAAAGAACTGCAAGAGGCATCAGAGTATCTGATATACTTTTTCAACTGCACAACCTGCAATTCTCAGAAATTTCTACACTTGTGATGTTTCAAGGCAGCCTTCCTCCCCAAATTTTTGACGAATTACCTGCAAGGCAGGCACTGAGGAAATACTTATATATTTGAGTATAAGCCCTTTTTTAGGCTGAACAAGTTCCCCTCAGCTTATACTTGAGTCAGGGTTATTTATTGCTTCACTCTGTTATTATTATTACATTTATTATTTTTCTCTATTATTATTACATTTATTATTTTACTCTGTTATTGTTATTATTACATTTCCATTATTTTACTCTAATATTATTATTTTATTACACTTATTATTTTACTCTATTTATTATATTTGAAAGGATACCTAAACACATTAACATTGAAGAAGGTCAGAATACTGCTTTAATCAAAGTTAGACAGTCTTCTCTTAAATTACAGTTTTATGTAAATATTCAAAATCATTCAACCTACTGATGCCTCAATTAATGTGGTTGTATTGGTATCTATTTTTATTTTGAAATTTACCAGTAGCTGCTGCATTTTCCACCCTTGGCTTATACTCAAGTCAACCTGTTTTCCATTTTTTTGTGGGAAAATTAGGTACCTCGGATTATATTTGGGTCAGCTTACACTCGAGTATATATGGTAGGTTGCCCAGGAGCTGGTAGCTTTCTGCCTGATGGAGATAGCTTACTGTGCTTTTTTTTGTATCTCTAGAAAAAATATACTGTTACACCAACATAGTATATCATAGGATGCTAGCCATAATATAATAAAAGTGTTTTAATTGTTTAATTAAATTCTTTAAATATCTTTATTATTTTATTTATTTATTTACGGCATTTTTATGCCATCCTTCTCACCCTGAAGGGGACTCAGAGTAGCTTACAATATATATTTTCATACAATATATTATATTATTAGCATAATACAATATCAGTATTATATATTACTGTATTGCACTATACCATTATATTGTAATATTATTAGTAATATTACATGTAATGTAAATATATAGTTTATAATTATAATATTGTATTACTAGTATTATATTATATTATAATATTATAAATATATGTATATACAATATACTATATGATATTATTAGTAAAGACAAGATGGAAATGTCTTCTGCTCATTAACTAATTAACTTATTTAACAAAACTTGTATTGGATTGACCACATCAGCTCTAGTTTCTTAGATATGGCTATCATGGTTTTCTGTGGCAAGCAGATTGAAATTGGCATGTTGCATATGAAAAACCAGAGCCAATAGGGGAAAAAGTGATACCATTTTTGAAATCAGCATCTCATATATTCCCAGAACCAGGGTTAACATTTGAGGCATCAAAATGTGTATGGGCTATTGATAATAATCCAGCCATACCATCCTAGAATGATCCTACTTGGTAAGAGCAATTTCTCATTTTGCTTTTGCTGTTTTTGTGAGGAGGGGCCTGCAGTAGTGCTTCCTCTTTTCAAACATTTGGCCTAAAGTGAGCCCAGATATTTAAGGAGGCATCCAGACCACACTCGATTTACAAGGATCTGACAAGTTAGATTGCTATCTAATTTAAACATGCCATTGGTGAACTTATGAACATGCTTTCCTAATTGTTTCCTCTATCTATCTGCATTCATAAGTTTTTCAGCATGTGTCCAATCTCAAACTAAGTGATAGAACTCAAGAAGACAACGTTCCATGGTACTAAGGCAAAGTTACTGGTCACATGAATATTACCTTTTCTGAGCAATGGACAGACTTTAAATTCCTGTAGGATAGCTACTTTTCATCAGAGTTCTGTTTTCAGCTTCCCCATACATTTTTAAAAAGGAAAAGAATTAAACTTGGTAGTTTTAATAATTTACATCTCATAACAGTTAATTTTATTTTGAAAGCAAAATTCTGATAGACGAGAGATTATAGTCTGGTCTACCAGGAATTAACTGATGATAGATTTACGATAGCACAGATGTTAAACCAAGGCCTTGTGTATTAGTCTAGTTGTGTTACTAGTTTCTCTCTCATCTTTTATTCAGAAGAAGATGTGGCTGTGAAAGAGACTCCTGTTGAAAAAAGCAAGGAGAGAAAAACAACCAAGCCAGTACGCAAAATCCAGAAAGTAAATCAACATCAAAATCCTGATTCGAAACAAGGTGCATACGGTGTTTACATTTACATGCAAATGTTGGCCTGTGCTCTTGAAATAATGTTCGCATTATTATTTTTCTCATACCAATAACATATCCTTATCCTCAAGATTAAGGGCAAGATAATAGCTCTACTCGCTTATTTATTTGCCATGCATTTGGTAAAATTTCATACAATTCACTTAACAAAACCACAATAAAATATATTAAAAGCAATAAAAAGAAACAAAACACAACCAGTGAAGCATTAGACTACCAGATAAAAACTAGTGAAGTTTGTCATTGTAATGATCTCAGTACAGCAATGCACTGAAACACATCTTCTTGTCTAAAAGCTAATTTATTAAATACAAATAAAAAATATTTACACTAGAAGCTAAGCAGAACAAAGGCTTGCTTCCATCTCTCGCGGCAGCTACGTGGTTCTTCAACACGTTGTTATCTACATTTAGGCACCTCCTTACATTCCATAGTGACGTGATGACGTACGAAGCTCCACAGCGTATATAGCTCTGCACACTAAGATTTACAACTCTTTAGCAATGCCGTTCCTCCTTCATGATACAGTTAACCCTTTCCACACTGACATGACAAAAAACAAACAAAACACAGGAATTACTATTCGGCACATTGCATTATATAGCATCACATTTCTAAGCACACAAACACTAACTTTGAAAACTACAATACACTTAATCAAAACACTCAGATACATTCTGACAAAGTACAATATCTTCCATTGCTGTTATTTATTTGTTGTGTCAGGGCAACCAGTCAAATATATTACATTTCTAACAGAAACAAAGCAAACAAACAGACAAAATACAAAATTTGTGAGTTTGGTAGTTGATTAAATGTCCTTTGACCAGTATCTGGCCACTTGGAGTGCTTCTGGTGTTGCTGCAAGAAGGTCCTCCATTGTGCATGTGGCAGGGCTCAGGTTACATTGCAGCAGGTGGTCAGAGGTTTGCTCCTCTCCACACTCGCATGTTGTGGATTCCACTTTGTAGCCCCATTTCTTGAGGTTGGCTCTGCATCTTGTGGTGCCAGAGCGCAGTCTGTTCAGTGCCTTCCAAGTTGCCCAGCTTTCTGTGTGCCCAGGGGGGAGTCTCTCATTTGGTATCAGCCATTGATTGAGGTTCTGGGTTTGAGCCTGCCACTTTTGGACTCTCGCTTGCTGAGGTGTCCCAGCGAGTGTCTCTGTAGATCTTAAAAAACTATTGCTGTTGAGAGTATAAGACTCGTTTACAGATGGAAGTAATCTGATAGAGGAATCAGGTCTCATAAGGTTAGAATGATAGGACTCTGGTTAAGAGTTTCATAGTATCATACTCTACACCCTTCACATTCCCCGTGTTCCCTCTGAACTTTGCTGCAGTCCTTACAATTATTAGAAAGAAGATGGGTTTTCCCGTCAACTTTGTATCTCTGCCATCAATTGATGTAACTGAGAAAAAGCTGTTTTATTGCAATACAATTTTGGTGTAGCTTGGTCTGGAATAGGCAGTTAAGATTTGTCAGTTTTATTTTAGCTGGTGGAGATGAAAACAGCTAAATCTATTTTGTAGACAAGCCACCTGCATTTTGACTCTACTTGCAGATCTTATCATAAGGACTGGTCTGATGCGTGGCTGCATTTCAGAACTTACCATTTTACCAGTGGGGAGAAAAAGTGTCTGACACTCTGTTCTCTAGCAGTTTGCTCTAGGACCCTTCTACATCCAGATTATCACATTAAATAATCCACACTATCTTCTTTGGATTATATGAGACTACACTGCCATATGATCCAGTTCAAAGCAGGTAATCTGGTTTTTACGTGGCAGTGTAGAAGGGGCCCTAGACAAACCTAGTGGTGGGGTCTGAAACTCATTGAGAGAAAGTAGAACAACAAAGTCCCCTCCAACATCAAGTGGCATTGAAAGTAAGCATTGTCAGCACTGATTTTTAAAAAAATGTCCATACTTGGAAGGACATGATTTTGGAGGAACAGATGATGCAGTTGTTGTATCTATCACTTGAGGCTTGATAATATGGCCAACCCTATTTGAAAAGTCATTTCACCCTGGGTGTTGTCTAACACACCATTGTATCCTGAAAGTTTACATAAATGAAACTTCACATTATTAATGGCCTTTTCAATCAGCATTTCACAACATATATTGGTTGGTTATTTGTTTAGGTGGTGCTAATACAATAAGTACATCCTCCTGGCGGGATGGGCAGAGACTGGCGAAGAAGATATTGGGTCCAGTTCCAAAAATAGAACAGCCTCACAAGCAGCTGTCATCTAATGACAAAATGGGGAAGGATAGATCCACGAAATCTGGTAAACTGAACTATGTAGGAACACACTGTTTCTATTTAAATGTTGCATAGAATGCTGTTTAGTTCTTATGATATAAAAATTGCTTCTTTATTTTCTGCAATTCTTTGACTTGGAGAAATTTCCTAGTTAAAAAGGAAAGAGTCCATCATGTGATAACTTCAAAAGAAGTACCAGTACCCTCCCCCCCTCTGCCATGGTGCTTCTGGCCTTTTTAAATGTCTTGACAGGGAAATTGGGAATGGGGGGGGGGGTTGTCTACCTGAGGAGACGTTGATGCTTTCCACTTACTGCAGAATGGCCATCATGTTATCTGTTGATCATATCAAAATCCATACACTATATACTCATGTAGGTAAAAGTAAGGTAAAGATTTTCCCCTGACATTAAGTCCAGTCATGTCCGATTCAGGGGGTTGGTGCTCATCTCCATTTCTAAGCCAAAGAGCCAGTGTTGTCCGTAGACACCTCCAGAGTCATGTGGCCGGCATGACTGCATGGAATGCTGTTGCCTTCCTGCCGGAATGATACCTATTCATCTACTCACATTTGCATGTTTTCAAACTGCTAGGTTGGCAGAACCTGGGGCTGATAGCGGAAGCTCACCCCGCTCCCCAGATTCGAACCTGCAACCTTTCGGTCAACAAATTCAGCAGCTCAATGCTTTAACCTACTGTGCCACTGGGGGCTCCATATATTTATGTATAAGTTAGAACTCTTAGGCAAAAACCCGAAAGAAACCCTTGGATTGACTTATCCCCTTGCTACTGTAACTACAACACCTTAATTCTTATCAAAAAAGAAACCGTCCCTTTCTCTGAGTAGAGTAACAAAAGTCATGAGCTTTGTCCGCCGTGGGAAAACCCAAAAGAAGCACTGACCTCTTCTACTCCGCTTTGAGTCTCTTTTGTGAAGAGAAAAAATGGGGTATCAATAATGATGATGATGATGATGATGATGATGCTCTGTCTGCCGTGGTGAAATGGCAGTAGCATCAAAGAGCAGCTGCCCCCCTGAGGTGATATTTATTCTTTCACCTCTCTGTGGAATGACTCTCAACTTATCTAGGGGTTATATCAAAATCCATAATTTTGGCCTAAAACCTTTTCTTGACTTAGACACGAGGCCAGCTTGTACATGGGTACATACAGTAGTGGATGTGGTAATCAATAGTGTGGCAGAATGTTGGCTACACTTGAGCAAATAAGGAGAAAATATACTAACTTTCTGTTTTTTCAAAATGCATATTAGTGTAATATTGTTATTAAAACAAATGGCTTTAAAATCTCAGCATGCTTCTGGATCTGCATCTTCAGATTGCTTCATCAGGCAGTATACAAGATTGATTGGAAACTATTGTTCTGTACTGTTAGTTATTGTTAGTCTGTTAGATCTTTAAAATATCCCACGTTATTCCTATCATGAAACAAACTTTCAGGATTAGTTGTTCTTTACATAAGGAATTAGTAAGCATGTCAGCTGGGTAAGTTGAAAATGTTGCACAACAAGTTGTAATTTCTAAAGTTAAAATTTAGTTCAAAAATAGAATGGGGTCTGGTAGACTGTATTTTCTGCAATCAATAATAATAATAATAATAATAATAATAATAATAATCTTTATTTATACCCTGCCACCATCTCCCCAGTGGGAACACGGAGAAGCTTACATGGGGCCAAGCCCGGACAACATAATTACAGCAGAATAAAACCAAAACCATAAACAACAAACAATGTAATCAAAATTACATAGGAAAGAAAAAAAAACATTCCAATAAACACAGTCACAATAACAGTGGGCGGGCCACATGTACAGGATAAAACAATTAAAAGATTCTAATGAGATAAAAATAGGAGCAGATTATTTTCAGGGAGCTCGTAAAAACAAACAGAGTTGTGAAACTAAACTTCCCATTTGGAGGGCGCATACTCCAGTGGCAGAAGCGTTGAATAATATCGTGTTATACATCTACTCGCCAAAGGCGCAGCAGAAGAGCCAGGTTTTAAGGTTCTTTTTGAATGTTTCTAGTGAGGGGGCTTTCCTGCTTGGCCCTTCAAAATGCAAGGGCCATTCCTGCTTGGCCCTTCAAAAACCAGAGCCTTTTCATTTTTGTTCTTATTTTATCCATTATTTTTTATGTGCTCATATCTTTGTAACTGTTTAATGATGCCAAAAGGTCAATTAAAATGTAGCATCTTTAGCTCTCATATTCTTTCATATGATTTGTTGCATCTCCAGTGTAAATGCTTTCCAGCTCCTGTTACTACCACACTGCTGAATTTTGCTTGAAAACAGGAAAAAAATGAAAAACATGCATTTTAAAAAAATAGTGGCACATTGTCATTAAGAGACAATTACTTTGCAGGGATATACATGTCATCCATGCATTGTCTTCCACAGTTTACAACAAAAGAAATGTTATTCTAATAGATTCTTCATGTCAGGCATGAAAATTGTACCTGTAATACATTAAGTTATTTTTGTCTCTATTCCTCCTCTTCCTTTTCTAGCTCCCCACATAGGAAAGACAGAATCTGATTTCAGTATGGATATTACTGTCAAAATGCTATCAAAAAGTCCTGAACGATCACGGACTAAAGCGAGAGTGGAGAATAACCTGAAGAAAAAAGATTCTGCTGCTCAGGATGTTAAACTGGGAGAAGACCATGTAAATAAGGATTTTTTGCCAGTAGAGATCCGTGGGATTCTTGACGACCTCCAACTGGATTCTGTGTCTCAGCAGGAAAGGAAGGAAAAAAGCCAGAGTCGGAAATTAGCACCTTCTTCAGTTACCAGGAGTCACAGCCCAACAAAAAGAAAACCTGACAAACTTTCTGCTAATGATGAGCCCCAAATCACGTCTAAGAAACGACATTATGATACAGATGAGGTTCGACAGTTTATTGTTAGACAACAGGAAGAAAGAAAAAAGAGGCAAAGTGAAGAGAAGAAAGCACAGAAAGAGGCGACAGAACAAAGGAATAAGAAACTTCAGGAACTTTACAAGAAACAGCGAGAAGCTTTGGCTAACAAGACAAAGAGCACACCAGCTCCTGAATTAGCCAACAAACAATTACAAGAAACTTACTCTAAATTGGAACAAGCCTTACTGGAGCAGCCATTACCCTCTGTACAGGAGGGAGAGGTAAGAGAGTCTGGGGTGTTTCCTCATCAGTGGAAAGTTTTTTCTGTGTTAGCTTTTCTGGGAAGATTTTTACAGAATCAGCAAATATTACTCCCCCCCCCCCCCCCCCAGCTTGAATGGCACCTAATCAAGATACTGATTCCCTTTAAAAATATTTGGGCAGGCTCTAATCTGTAGACAGTAGTACTAGTCTATATATATAAAAATGCTCTGTGCATAATGAGTACCTTAAAAACAAAAGAACCAATGAACGAAATCACACCAAATTTGGCAACAAAAGTCTTACAACACAAGGAGTGACAATCACTCAAAAATTAGATTTTGTCATTTGGGAGTTGTAGTTGCTGGGATTTATAGTTCACCTACAATCAAAGAGCATTCTGAACTCCACCAATGATGGAATTGAACCAAACTTGGCACACAGAACTCCCATGACCAACAGAAAATACTGGAAGGGTTTGGTGGGCGTTGACCTTGAGTTTTGGAGTTGTAGTTCACCTACCTCCAGAGAGCACTGTGGTTTCAAACAATGATCAAACTTGGCACAAATATTCCATATTCCCAAATATGAACACAGATGGAGTTTGGGGGAAATAGACCTTGACATTTGGGAGTTGTAGTTACTGGGATTTATAGTTCACCTACAATCAAAGAGCATTCTGAACCCCACCAATGACAGAATTGGGGCAAACTTCCCACACAGAACCCCCATGACCAACAGAAAATACTGAAGGCCATCCAGTCCAACTCCCTTCACCAGGGCAAGAAAATGTAATCAAAGCCCTCCTGACAAAGAGCCATCCAGCCATAGATACAGATAGATATGATTCACACACACACAGAGATAAAGAACAATGATATGTTGCATGTTCCAGATTGCGCAAACCAGACACTCTCCACATCAACACTGACAAAGAAACAGCAAGAAATACTGTTTACCCACAAGCAGAAAGACAATACATATATTAGAAACCAACACTTTCTCATTACTTTATTTTCCAGAGCAACAGACTGGGCCACAGCAACGTGTGGCAGGGGACAGCTAGTTGCCTATAAAGGGAGTCTCCTAATTACAAACATCTGGTTACAAACAACTTACGTTGGCTCAGTCACTTGGGATTTTGTCACTCCTTTAAAATACAGTGTTTTTAAATTCCATATTGAAAATGTACTTCCATTTTCTAAATCTGCTATTAACTTTCCAGGCCAAACCTGGTTATCAACCATCTGGCGAATCTGACAAAGAGAACAAGGTGCAAGAGCGTCCTCCCAGTGCATCTTCTAGTAGCGATATGTCTCTTTCTGAACCTCCTTATCCTGTTCTCAGGTAAGAGAGCAAGGGTGTGTTTAAGACTTTAGTAAATTAGGAACTTTCTGTGGAAAAAGTGACTTTAACAGGCAGTGTTCCAATAAAGCTTGTATAACAACAAGATTTTCTCCCTCCCCTTATTAATCTGGAATCCAGTTTGTCACATTTCTGTATCTTCAAGGCATCCTGTAATCATACTGACATGAAAAGCAAAGTATCCATGTGCAAAACACAGTGAAAAAGCAAGGATGTCACTTTTTCAGCTAGATGGGACTGACTCTGCAAATATGTTGGATTTTAAACTGCTTTAAAATTTAGATTTGAAAACTGTGTTCCCTCACTACTTCGTGGTTCGCTTTTAGCAGACTTGCTGTTTTCAGGTTTTTGAAAATATTAATAAAAACTATAAAGCATTAAATGTTTACATCCAGGGAGGCCAGGAACCCTGAAAGTGTGGCAATCTGAAGAACAGCGGGGAAGACCTGCCTCCCTGGCCTCCACAGACCCCAGAAGTGTGGCGGCTGAGGCACAGCGGGGAAGGCCTGCCACCCTGGCCTGCTGCTGCCTGCGTGGCTCCAGAGACTCTCTGAGGCCAGGGAGGCAGGCAGGTGCTCTTGGGATGGGCCAGGAGTGCTGAACCAGAGCAATAGGGGAAGCTGCTTCAGGAGCACCTGGAGTTTCTATTTGAGGGATGTCATCTGTAATTTAATTGCCATAGCTCAATACTATGTAATCCTGGGATTTGTAGTTTGATGAGACATCTACATTTTTTTGTAGAGAAGGCTCAAGGCCTTGTAAAATTACAGCCCCATGACCCCATAGTATTGAACCAAGGCAGTTAAAGTGGATTCATTCTATAGCATAGATGAACCCTAAGGTTTCTTTTCCATTGTTGAAAGCTTTGTTGTTGTAACACAATCATTTTTTAAAGAAGGAATTCTAAGCAGGCAGCAACTATAATGGGCATATCACAAAGAGCGCACCTTTTGCTGCTGCATATTACATTCTCCAGCAAATGCTTTTTTGGTTTCAGGATTTTAAAAATTGAGATGTGCATTAGATTGGAATAAATATAGGCATTTTAACGATGTTCCCCACCATGAGGAGAGAGGGTAACAAATAAAATGTATTATTGCTATTATTATTATTATTATTATTATTATTATTATTATTATTATTATTATTATTTGAAACACAACAAGATGAGTCCACTGCAAACAAAATCACTCTGCTATCATTATTATTATTGTATTGTTGAAGGCTTTCATGGCCGGAATCACTGGGTTGTTGTAGGTTTTTTCAGGCTATATGGCCATGGTCTAGAGGCATTCTCTCCTGACGTTTCGTCTGCATCTATGGCAAGCATCCTCAGAGGTAGTGAGGTCTGTTGGAACTAGGCAAAAGGGTTTATATATCTGTGGAATGAGACAAAGGACTCTTGTCTGCTGGAGCTAGGTGTGAATGTTTCAACTGACCACCTTGATTAGCATACAACGGCTTGACTGTGCCCAGGGCAAACTTTTGTTGAGAGGTAATTAGATGTCCCTGCCTGCTTCTTCTCTGTTGTTGTGCTGTTGCAATTTTAGAGTTTTTTAATACTGGTAGCCAGATTTTGTTCATTTTCATGGTTTCCTCCTTTCTGTTGAAATTGTCCACATGCTTGTGTATGTAGGATGTATAGTCTGACATGGTGGTTGTGAGTGGTCCAGCATTTCTGTGTTCTCAAATAATATGCTGTGTCCAGGCTGGTTCATCAGGTGCTCTGCTATGGCTGACTTCTCTGGTTGAAGTAGTCTGCAGTGCCTTTCATGTTCCTTGATTCGTGTTTGGGCAATGCTGTGTTTGGTGGTCCCTATGTAGACTTGTCCACAGCTGCATAGTACACGGTAGACTCCTGCAGAAGTGAGAGGATCCCTCTTGTCCTTTGCTGAACGTAGCATTTGTTGGATTTTCTTGGTGGGTCTGTAGATAGTTTGTATGTTGTGTTTCCTCATCAGCTTCCCTATGCGGTCAGTGGTTCCCTTGATGTATGGCAAGAACGCTTTTCCTCTGGGTGGATCTTTGTCTTTACTCTCATGGCTTGTTCTTGGTCTGACTACCTATATGCTAATCAAGGTGGTCAGTTGAAACATTCACACCTAGCTCCAGCAGACAAGAGTCCTTTGTCTCACCCTGGTCATTCCACAGATATATAAACCCTTTTTCCTAGTTCAAACAGACCTCACTACCTCTGAGGATGCTTGCCATAGATGCAGGCGAAACGTCAGGAGAGAATGCCTCTAGACCATGGCCATATAGCCCGAAAAAACCTACAACAACCCATTATTATTATTATTAGTATTATTATTACTACTACTACTACTATTATTTAAGTGTGACATTTCAAATAAATTCATGTATGTTACCATTAATTGTGAAATCTTGCCCAGGTTCTGTTCTCCTTTACTTATGAAGATTCAACCTTAAATTTCTAGGAATAAATTGTTGGAGCCTTTGTGGATTCAACCAGATAGGTTGAGTTCAAAAATCCAACTTCCTTGCCCACAGTCTTCTGCTATCTTGAATGGAAATCTCTTCTCTCAACACTTATCCCTGGATCACAGGGGTCTCTTACAAAAGGACTTTGATACTGTCTTCTCAACTAAAAGAAGCTATAGCACTGCCGTAGGTTCTATACCTTCGGGATCTCAGCCATTTGTGCCATCTGCTGTACAGCCAACAATTAATCAGTATAAAAGCAAATTGGACCGTATTGAAGCCCTGAAAGCTACAGCAGCCTCTCTATCAAATAGGATTGAAAATGAAGCCAAGAAATTAGCAGGGGCAGGTATTAACTATGGCGCAGTGTGGAATTCTGAGTGTGACTTACTGCAAGGAGACCAGAGTGATGGCTACTGGGCAAAGTCCAGCAGCCCCCCTGTAAGAGAAGATGATGTTTTTTCTGCCAGACTTCAGAAGATGTTGGGTACCTGTGTCTCTCATGCAACTTTTGATGACAACCTTCCTGGAGTGGGAAATCTTAGTGAATTTAAAAAGCTTCCGGAGACCATTAGTCCTCATACTGCCAGTGTCAACCTCATAGGCAATTACCGATCTGAAGGAATCCTAGGAAGTCTGTCCAAGAAACAGGCATCCTCCCCCAGTGTTGAAAGTAAAGTGGCACTTAGACATGCTGGCAGTGTAGACTCAATAAGTGAAGGGCCACTCAGTGATGGCCCTCTCTCTGAGGAGGAAGGAGAAAAACATGAACAGCCAGCATTGAAGACAACTGAAATACTAAAGGAAAAAGAATTCTGTGCAGTGGATAAAACTGGCTATGAGCCCATAAAAGAATTTCAGAAAGAGGCAGAAAAGTATTTACCTATTTTCACACAGCTGAAGAGTGCCCAGAGACCTTGGGAGGAGCTTTCCAAAGGAAGTCCACATAGTGTCATCAACATTTTTACAAAATCTTATCAGCTGTATGGAAAAGGTAAGGAATGAAAAACATTTTGCGATTTCTAGTATTTTGCTTTTTACTGCCAAAAGAATTGGATTTGTGTGATGCTTCATTGCAATACTGAGCTATAGTTCTTTTTGGGCGTAATAAATCAATAGTTTAGTTTTGTGGGTATCAGTGTTTGGTGATATATAGGAAATTTTCCTTTTCACTTGGTAATATTGGATTCTCCTCTTTTACCTTGGAGCCACTTAATGTGTTCAGATTTCTTCATATCTGAGCAATATTACTTTGAAAATAAAATTTATGAGTCATCTTATTGCAAGAGAGAAAAAAAACGACATTCCAGTCATTTTCTGTAAATATTATTATTATTAACTGTATTTGTACCCCGCTACCATCTCCCCAAGGGACTCAGTGTGGCTTACATGAGGCCGAGCCCAAACGCAACAACAAAAGCAATAAAACATCAATACAAGCAATTAAAAAGACATAGACAATAAAATACACAACATTATCAAAAAAGCAACACATAATTAAAACAGTGGGAAGGCCAAATGTAGAGTTAAAATTGGAAATAATGCTGGGACATGGACGAAAGGTGATACTAGTGTTTGTGGAGGGCATAAATAGCATTTCGTTCTTCTAATAAGCCTGTTCAGTAGACACACCCACAGATGGGTTTTGTTTAAATAAGTAAAAAATACCCAAATACAAATTGCATGGAGTCTTCACTTTCTGTTTCTTCTATAGGATTTGAAGAATGGTCAGGACAAAAGTCACCAACCCAGAGATCTTTACTTCCCATCATGAGCCCTTCAGCGAGTATTGCTTCATACGATGATGACTTCATTTCATCACAGGGAACAGGAACAGCCACAAGCAAAAAGGCTGCTTTTGAGCCTAGGTACTTTTGAGTTTTTCTTGTCTTTCTTTAAGAATCTTGAATTTTTATGTTACAGAATTTTCTTAATTTTTATTATTTTCTTTCACAATTTTTGCATTACATTATTTTACTTCTTACTCTTTAAGACACACTGATCTGTTTACATAATTTTTCATATTTCCAAATTTTGGTAGAGTGAGAATCCATTTTTAAAAACGGGCTAATGTTGTTAGAAGAAAATGTCTACTATATCTCTTGGCAACCCAATCATATACTTTCCTAATAGTTTGTCTACAGATTGCTTGTCTAGCCCAGATGTTTATCTTTGACAGATGCCAATGTAGTGTAAAATATAGTTGCTTTTAAGATTAATGTCCTAATATAGAGATTAATGTAGTTTATGGTTTAGTGATATTTATAAGGCATTTCTGATACTCCTTTTAAAGGATTTATAATAAGAAAGTGTTGTAATCCACCAATTTTTGGTTTACAGTAGTATGAATTTATAAAAGATGGATCCAATTTGAAATGGCTATATCTCTGTAGCCAACAACTGCCCATGAATGAAACTCTTACCACTTGAAAGGGTGGGGCATAGAGTTTCAAATGATTACTGAAAGATGTCTTTCCCAGTGCACAAATAACCCCTAGCCTCAGTTATTTATAAGATCGCCACCCTGTAACTTAAGGCAATTATTCTCAATTTGTGGAGTTATTTTTTAGACTTGTTTTTGGTTCAAAATGGTTAGTAGAAGTTGATAGCTTGTTTAACTGTTTGTAACTTTTTTAGTAATTGAAACATTGCTTTTGTGAAATATATTGGCCTATAAAGCCCCAGCCCAAATTACCTGTCCGAATGCATCTCCCCCTATGAACCATCGCGGAGATTAAGATCCTCCGGGGAGGCCCTGCTTTCTGTTCCGCCATTGTCACAGGCACGATTGGTGGGAATGAGAGACAGGGCCTTCTTAGTGATTGCTCCCCGGCTATGGAACTCCCTTCCTGGTGAGATCAGGTCGGCCTCCTCCCTCCTGTCCTTTAGAAGGATGGTAAAAACTTGGCTTTGGGACCAAGCTTTCGGGACAGGGCAATAAAGTGGCAATAGGAAAGATGATCAGGCCAATTAGATTTGACGCAGATGACTAGGACGGTTTTAAATGGTGTATTTTAATATTTTGATATTTTTTTAATGTTTATGAATTGTATGTGAATTTGTGTCCCAGCACTGAATGTTTGCCGTGTATATGCTGTGCTCCGCCCTGAGTCCCCTTTGGGGTGAGAAGGGCGGAATATAAATGTTTTAAATAAATAAATAAATATTGTTTTGAAATTGGGTCCATCATTTTGAAACACTTTGCCATTGAGAAATATTAAGTTCCATGAATGTTTTGGCAGTGGAAGCAGCAGCCCCAGCCTGAAAGAAGAGCTGACCAGCAGGAAGTCACCGTACGAGGTGCAAGCTATACAGTTTGCTCACCATTCCTCAGGACCACCATCTACTGGTTCTTCCCATTCCTCTGCATCTTCTAAAAAAAGAGGGAAAACGGGAAGTAAGTGTTTTGTATTAGGCATGTCTTATTGTGAATTGATATTAGTAGTATAAACACATGGAGTTTCTTGGAAAGTGTTAAAGCCTAAATACCTTAAAGACACTCAATCCCATCTGATCTTGGAATCTAAACAATGTCAGTCTCATTAGTACTCCAGAGAAGGAGCTCTACTCGACTACCAGGCAGTAGACCCCCCCCCAAAGGATATGTAGTCCAACCGTCCTCATGAAAGGCAGGAATGCTCATTCAAAGCACCCCTGGATGGCATCTATCAGAGGCATAGTTTCCTCTCATTATGACATTTTTGGTATATGTAACACTTTACACAGTGATACAATCATGCAGTCATCTATATAAATAAAAATGTAATGTTTGTTTGTGGTATTAACAGAACTCAAAAACCACTGGACGAATTGACACCAAATTTGGACACAAGACACCTAACAACCCAATGTATGTCCTTCACTCAAAAAAAAATGATTTTGTCATTTGGGAGTTGTAGTTGCTGGGATTTATAGTTCACCTACAATCAAAGAACATTCTGAACTCCACCAATGATGGAATTGAACCAATCTTGGGACACAGAACTCCCATGATCAACAGAAAACACTACAAGAGTTTGGTGGGCATTGACGTTGAGTTTGGGAGTTGTAGTTGACATACTGTGGCCTCAAACAATGATGGATCTGGACCAAACTCTACACAAATACTCAATATGCCCAAAAGTGAACACTGGTGGAGTTTGGAGAAAATAGAATCTTGACATTTGGGAGTTGTAGTTGCTGGGATTTATAGTTCACCTACAATCACAGAGCATTCTGAACCCCACCCATGACAGAATTGGGCCAAACCTTCCACACAAAACCCCCATGTGGGCCACAGCAATGCATGGCAGGGGACGGCTAGTCTAATATAATATGTTATCTCTCACTTTTGGTGTCTTTTAGGTACTTAGTATATAAAGACCTTGGTCATCACTTAATATATGAACTGAACAAAAGTTATGGCAGATTTATATTGATATGTCTAAATCTCACTTACATAATGAGATGGGGATATTGTGGTTTTTTACGGCTTGTTTCATTTTGCTCATACTGTTCATCCACTGGCTGCTATTTCATCCTCATCTATCTCCAAGAGTGTGTAAATATGTATGTTATCCTACTAGTTTATTCTTTGAACATATATGTGAAATAGGTTAGGCTTTCGGTGCTTCAATATGGCCCAGTTTATCTTTATACAGATTAACAGTTGCCTGTACAGTAGATGGCATGACCAGCAGTACTATACATTCTCTTAGTTGAGAATACATAGTCCTTTGGTAAGAGCTCCCTGTGATTTGTGGATAAATGTTGAGAGAACAACTATTCCAAGATGACACAGCAAGTTCAGTGATCTTTGTGTTGGGAAAGAAAGTAGTAGTTGATTTGTATAGTACATTTCTTAGACTAGAGACCTTATTCTGGGTTGACATTTTCAACATAGCTTTGAAATATTAAAAAAAAAACCACTCAACATTGCTTTTCAAGTTGTAATTTTTAAAACTCTATTTTTACAAAATGTGTTACAGAACTGGATTCTTTGACTGGAGTTCCAAATATCCCTTTGTGGGAGGAAAGCAAAGAATCTCCAAGATCAGATTATGGACTGCACCAGGCACTGAACTCATTACCTGATAATGGAATATCTAATAGAGAACCAGAGCAGAATCTAGATTCTGACAGCACTTTAGAGGAACTGTCTGGCCACTCCTTGATGAGGTAAATTGAATTGTTGATAGAATTAAAGTAGCATATTTAATTGGTCTATGGTCTAATGACATTTATTCTCTAAACATGTATAAAGAATTAAAAATAATTGCCAATATCCTAGATTAGCTGCTTAGCTGCAATCTAAGTTTCCTCTCTCACTCAAACCTTTGCAATCTTGAGTTACAAGGCAGCAGCTGCTGTAAGTAATGAAGATCTGTTCTCTTCTGAATCAGTATTCATCAAACTGACATTTCCATCCTTCTCCTCTCAGTGATTTCTGAGCACAATACAGATTGGGGAAGGGCAGTGGGAGTTGGAACATCAGTCAGCTGCATCCCAATGGACAGGAGAACAGATCCCCATTGCTTGGAGTGACTGCTGGCCAGCGAATCAGGACTGGGAGACTTTCAGTCTCTGCGTGTTCCATATACAATTGAATAAATAATTATCTGTGGACTCAAACAATGATGGATCTGGACCAAACTTGACAGGAATATTCAATATGCCCAAATGTGAACACAGATGTAGTTTGGGGGAAATAGACCTTGACATTTGGGAGTTTTAGTTACTAAGATGTATAGTTCACCTACAATCAAAGAGCATTCCGAACCCCACCAACAATGGAGTTGGGCCAAACATCCCACACAGAACTCCCATGACCAACAGAAAATTCTGTGTTTTCCGGTGGTCTTTTGTGACCCTTCTGACACCCCCATGGTGACCCTCCCCTCCCCGGTCTTGACTTCCAGGTTGAGAAATGCTGCCTTAAGGCCACCCAGTCCAACTCCCTTCACCAGGGCAAGAAAGCCCTCCTGACAGGTCCATCCAGCCATTCACACACACATATATACATATATGACAGATGCAGTATCAAAGATTTGAAAGAGACCCCTAAAGAAGGACAATGATATGTTGCCTGTTCCAGAATAGGCAAACCAGACAATCTCCACATTAACACTGGCAAATAAACAGCAAGAAATACTGTTTACCCACAAGCATAAAGACATTACATATATTAGAAATCAACACTTTCTCATTACTTTATTTTCCTGATCACCAGACTGGGCCAAGCAACGCGTGGCAGGGGACCACTAGTAGATAATAAAGATCTATTGAGAATGTAAAACTCTGGGCTGTTCATTTGAAATTGCAGTTATTAATTTATTCCATGATTTATTATTTAAATAATAATTAAATTAATTAAAGAGAGTTTAAGACTGAAAACATATTTAAAACACAATTTCACAATTTCACATTACAATTCCATACTTAAAATCCAATATTTATAAATCTGCCTAAATAAAATTTTTATCCTTGTCTTACATTTTTGGAAATTTGAAATGAAATAATGCACCGAGAAGCAAAATCTTAACATCATATACAAATCCAGGCAGGTTGACCACTCAGGTGCACATTGTAAACATTACATCAAAATATCAGCAACATGCTATTTAATAAAGTAGAAACTGCAGACTGCCTCTGATTTCCATATTAGGTTACACACTCACACAATTTGTGACTGTTGATCACCAAACCTATTAAAGAACTTTTGCAAGTAGTGGCAAACCTAATGAGATCTTATTGAATGTGGAATAGGTGTGCACAATATTTGAGTTGTTAAGAGCCAGTTTTTTAAAATCCCTGTTCCCATTACAGGGACTTCACTGGTGTTCCCAATGCTTCAGTTGGATTTGTGAGGACATTTTAAAGATGATTTTGGGAGATGCATTGGGAGATTGTAGGGATGAAAACATTACATCTGCTGGTAGTGACCTCACTACCTCTGAGGATGCTTGCCATAGATGCAGGCGAAACATCAGGAGAGAATGCCTCTAGAACATGGCCATATAGTCCAAAAAAACTTAAAACAACCCAGAGATTCCGGCCATGAAAGCCTTCGACAATACATGCTATAATAATTTGTATTTCATCTTTTGTATTTTAACACCTTGAAATTTTAGTAGAAATTAGAGAATTATGCTAATGCTATAGTTCAAAGAAAAAATTCTTGTTCATAATAATTCAGCCATGAATGTTCAGCCTAATTTTTTTTTCCAGGATAGGAAAACTGAGACTTCAGTTGAGAGTCTTATGTCTAGCTTTAGTGTCTTTTCAAACTTTACAAAGACAGTGAAAGTATCCAAGGATAGACTGTGTCCTTCCAAAATTTTAATTATGGAATTGTTGTGTGTGTGAGTCAATGGTGTGCTGTTTGAAATTATGTTTTAAGTATGTTTTCGGTTTTTCATTGTCTTTAATTATTTCAATTATTTATTATTATTAAATAATAAATCATGGCAGAAGTTAATGGTGCAATTTCAAATGAACACCCCAGAGTTATATTCAAGAATAGAGACTATGTTCTTCGTGCCCGTAGTTTCTGTGTAACAGTCAACTGCTTGATCAAACTCAGGTCTGGATTTGCACCTGTATCGGTTTCAAAGTTCTGTTATCACTGTTTTGTTTAAAATGGTATTTGTTTCAATAAAACTTTGACAAAGTTGCTTGGCACAAGGTGTCTTCATTAAAAATGGTCAGTATGCACCTTGCCTTATATTCATATACAGAGAGTGATAAACTTTTAACAGAACTTTGTTTTGTTGTTTTCTATAACAGTATCTTCTGACTAGAGACAAATCTAGGTTTGCCATAGTATATATACCCAATAGGAGCCATAGCCATCCCCAGCCCAGGCAAACCTATTTGTGTTGAAATATGTGTTGATATACCTGCTCTGTTTTAGGTTTTCAGCTATAGTTGCAACTTGTTAAAGAAATTCTACCAGGTACAGTTATCCAAACTAGGATAAATCACCTTCAATCTCTGAAATTAATATGCTTTTTACCAGAGGAAGTGACCATAGAGTCTAGATTTCAATAAAATAGGGAAAACTGGTGAGAGAGTGTGCTTCAAAATGAGAAGGTGAAATAGCTATATGCATGGACAAAAGGTTTATTTAGTTAAAGTATGATAACTCCCATTCTAGTGTGTGAAGTGACCTTTTAATATAAAAAGAACAGATCTGATTGTTGAAGAACACATTTTAGTTATAACCACCACCAGATAAAACTAAAACAAATTCCAATCTTTATAAGTGCTTTTTGTATACAGATAGACATATGGTACATTTTTGGCTAATATTGTTTGTTGGAAAAATAAACATGCTTTGTTTCTTTATTATTATTATTTTTCTCTCAGTCTCCCAGATAAAGTAAGGTCCCCAAGGACGTCGAGCTCACCTCAGTCTCCTCGTATACAGAAACAATCTCATATGGTAGTAAATACATCAGAAAAAAACAGATTATCAAATTCTTCAGTGACGGTAGCTTCTGAACCTCAACCAAATGCCGCCTTCTCTGATTTGAATTTTGGAACCAACAAGGCTGGAGCTGGGATCATAAGTGGTGAGCTGTCTGAAAGAAAAAAAGAATATAAAATATGATCTTTTTTTAAAAAAAAATGACTTATGGATGAGTATCTTGGTGCTTAATATTGTGATCTTACAGGTTCCATGCGCTTCTCACCTTCTGGTCTTCATCATCGTATGTCAGCAGAACTTAATTATTTAAGTGCCATTGAAGAGTCTGTACGCCAGATTTCTGAAGTAGAACGTGTGCGAGGAATATCACTTGCACAGCAGGAAAGTGTTTCTTTGGCTCAAATCCTAAAGGTAACTGACGAAGGGTTGTATCTTTGCTTTATTGGTCTTTGCACTCAACCAAAGGTCAGGAAAGGACAACATATAATAAAGAAAGAAACAAAGATTAGAACAATTTATTGTCGAAGGCTTTCATGGCCAGAATCACTGGGTTGTTGTAGGTTTTTTCGGGCTATATGGCCATGTTCTAGAGGCATTCTCTCCTGACGTTTCGCCTGCATTTATGGCAAGCATCCTCAGAGGTAGTGAGGTCTGTTGGAACTAGGAAAATGGGTTTATATATCTGTGAAATGACCAGGGTGGGACAAAGGACTCTTGTCTGCTGGAGCTAGGTGTGAATGTTTCAACTGACCACCTTGATTAGCATTTGATGGCCTGGCAGTGCCTGGGGCAATCTTTTGTTGAGAGGTGATTAGATGTCCCTGATTGTTTCCCTGATTGTTTTGCTGTTGTAATTTTAGAGTTTTAAAATACTGGTAGCCAGATTTTGTTCATTTTCATGGTTTATTCCTTTCTGTTGAAATTGTCCACATGTTTATGGATTTCAGTGGCTTCTCTGTGTAGTCTGACATGGTGGTTGTTAGAGTGGTCCAGCATTTCTGTGTTCTCAAATAAAATGCTGTGTCCAGGTTGGTTCATCAGGTGCTCTGCTATGGCTGACTTCTCTGGTTGAAGTAGTCTGCAGTGCCTTTCATGTTCCTTGATTCGTGTTTGGGCAATGCTGTGTTTAGTGGTCCCTATGTAGAGTTGTTCACAGTTGCATGGTATACGGTAGACTTCTGCAGAAGTGAGAGAATCTTTGGGTTGTTGTAGAAAGCTACAACAACCCAAAGATTAGAACAGTTGTAATGCGACTAAACTTTCATTAAGAGATCCAATGACTGGTAATGTAAATGTTGGCATATTTCCATTAAGGCAACCATTATTATTATTGATTATTGGTGACTCTGATTTAGGACAACACTAGGAATAAGATAGTCACCCCTATCATCAACAGCCCTACTCAGGTCTTACAGATTTGAGGCTGTGTCTTCCTTGATTACGTCTATTCATCTGTAATACCTTCCTCTTTTCCTGCTGCATTCTACTTTACCAACAGTTGTGTTTTTCTAGTGAGTCAAGTCTTCTCTTAATATGTCAAAAGTTTACAGTTCAGTCATCTTGGGGAAACCTCAGACTTGATTTGCTTTAGGACCCATAGAAATCTTCTCCATTTTTTTTCTGTCAGCTTTTTTCACTTTTGCAAGTTTCTTTCGCAAACATTCCTGGAAATGGGGAATATGATGACATGGGTAATTCTAAATTTAGTATTCAAATATATATCTTTACATTTGTCTAGTTCTCTCATAGCTGCCTCTTCAACTCCTAGACTTGTTCTGAATTCTTGACTGCAGTGTCTATTCTGATTAATGACTGTATGGAAAATCTTGAACCATTTCCTTGTTGTCGGCTTTAAATTTATGTAAATCACCTATGGTCATTGTGTTTGTTTTTTCATGCTCAACTATAATTCTACCTTCACACTTTCTTTCTTTCTTTCTTTACTATGTTAAGGAATCTTCCCAAGACTTTGCTACTTTTTGCTAGTAGTATACTGTCTTCTGCACATCTTAAATGGTTAATGTTCCTTCCTCTAACGTTCATACCTCCTTCCTCTGAGTCTAATCCTGCTTTGCATATAATATGTTCAGCATACATGTTAAACTGGTAAGAGTGATAAAATACATTGCTCTCTGACCCCATTCCCATTTGGAGGACATTCTTTCCCTTCATGTTATGTTCCGAGGCTAGCATCTTGTCTTTCAGTCATGCTGGAGGACCTAAACATTTCTATGAAGAACATCTCTCTAGGAAGGAATCCCTAGGTCATCTAGTACAATTTTGTGGTCAGCTTCAAGCAGAACATGACAGTGGTTGTTGTTGTTGTTGTTATTTGTATCCAGCTTTGCCTCTCTATAAAAAAGTCCCAAGTCATGTTGGATGACTACAAATTCCTAAGGAGCTGTTATCCCAAGTAAAAAAATAGCAATTTCATTCTTCATGGTTTTTCACAGGAGTCTTGTGCCCCTAACACTAGCAAATGTGGAGGGTTGACTGTAGTGTGAAAGACTTTGCTATTATCGATAAAGCACAGGATGATTTTCTTCTGAAATTCTTCAATGGTATATTATCCAACATATGTTCATAATACGGGTCCTTAGTGCCTCTTCCTTTCCTGAGCATTGACATTTCTCATTCCATATATGGTAATAGTTTTTTGTTGTCCCATTTTAAATATCACTTTGCTTCTGTGGGAAATTAATGCAATGGTCTTGTGGTTACTGCACTGCAGTTTATTCTTCAAATCATCCAGTGAATATGTTTAAGATAAAATATTCCTTTAAAAATACCCATTTGACCAGAATATTTAAAAAGTGACACTACAAATTTATACATTGCAATAATACCTTGGTGTGATCAGAACAGAAGACATGATCTTTGTGAAAAAGGGAACTGGACACAGGAAAGATGCTCAGAGATTCTGATTTCTATTAATGAAACTTGTTTAGCAATTGATAATTACTGTTCAGCCTCTTTAAATGTATTTTTATATAAGAAGGACAGGAAAATAAATTTTAAAAAATTAAAACTCAACTTTGTTTGTAGGCACAGCAGCAACGACATGAACGGGACATGGCTCTTCTGAAGCTCAAGACGGAGCAGGAGGCTTTGGAAACTCAGAGGCAGATGGAAGAGGCAAGGCAGAAAGCAGCTCAGGTGAGGACCTTTTAGAAAGTATTTAAAATATGCTATTTTATAGACAAACTAGCCGTCCTCTGGCATGCGTTGCTGTGGCCCACATGGGGGTTCTGTGTGGGGGGTTTGGCCCAATTCTATCGTTGGTGGGTTTCAGAATGCTCTGCGGTTGTAGGTGAACTACAAATCCTAGCAACTACAACTCCCAAATGTCAAGATTTTATTTCATTTTCCCCAAACTCCACCAGTGTTCACATTTGGGCATATTGAGTATTCGTGTAGAGTTTGGTCCAGATCCATCATTGTTTGAGCCCACAGTGCTCTCTGGATGTAGGTGAACTACAACTCCAAAACCAAAGGACACTACCCACCAAACCCTTGCTGTATTTTCTGTTGGTCATGCGAGTCCTGTGTGCCAAGTTTGGTTCAATTCCATCGTTGATGGGGTTCAGAATGCTCTTTGTAGGTGAAATAAGACCCAGCAACTACAACTCCCAAATGACAAAATCAGTTTTTTTGAGTGAAGGGCATACATTGGTTTGTTAGGTGTCTTGTGTCCAAATTTGGTGTCAATTTGTCCAGTGGTTTTTGAGTTCTGTTAATCCCACAAACGAACATTACATTTTTATTTATATAGATAGCTGATAATTTGAGACTTCCTCATGTTGGGCAATTATGTCTAGTGACAGGGAGCAGTTGAGACATTCGGGTATGGACGGTGCTAGTAGTTTGGAAAACCCTTTCTTGGTATGTCTTCCTTAACTTTTCTCCAAATTATCAAAAGTGACTATTATCTCTGAAGGGATAGTGAGCTTAGAACCTTTGCCAGAATGGACCAGATATTTTTGAAAATATTCAGACCAGTGAGGTAATGTACAACATGTATTGGATGAGGTTGTACAGCCTCTCTAAAAATCAGGCATGGTGTTCAGATATACAAATGGAGCTTGTTGACAAGTAGTGCAATTAGTTCCAATGCCTGAAATAGGTTTACCAGCTTTGATCTCTCCTAGACAAGTAGAACCTGGTGTAGCGAGGGAGAGAGACTAATTCCTTTTTAAAAACCTCTTTGCTGCCTTATACTGATTCAGTTTCTTCTTTTATATTGGATGGGACTTTCCGTATGCTATTAAACCTTTGTACTTTATATCACAGGCAATGAAACACTCTTGTGTATAACAAAGTAACACAGTTTATTTATAACTTCTGGCTCCAACGCTTGTGGTTACATTTGTGTTTTGTTGCAATCTTGAGGCTTACAGTCAGTATCATTTACTTGGTTAACTTTTCTGAATAAACTATCAATGTTTCACATTCACAAACATGTTACTTGCTTTACACACTCTTGGCTGAATTATATTCTGAACTAAGGCAACACTAGCCTTCTTTATGTTCCTTAAAACTCGAGCTCTATTTAACTAACTGCTTCTCTATATCAGAAGTCTTTAACACATCTTCATAACTGCTTATTTCTATCAGGCACTCAAAAACCAACTCTCCTCTTCACACACAGATTCCTAACTGTCATTTTCAAACTCCCTCACTCTAACTGCCTCTTTCAGAACCTTGGCTCTGCCCCTTTGGAATGTTCAGCTCTGCTCTCCCTAACTGTCATTTTGGCCTAACAGCCTTTTCAAATCCTGGGCTTACACTAATCTGCATATGACCAATCGGCTTCCATATGCAAATGAATCCTATCTCTGCTGTTGCTACCCTGTCTGTGCCTATTCTTCCCTATCTGCCATATGTAAACATAGAGCTATACACCAAAACTTTAATGTAGAGTAGCAATTTCACTACACCTGGCCACAGTTGTTAATGTACTGGAAACATGAAGCTGAGATTCCTAGTACTGCATGAGTGTTCCTTATGCAAAAATCTTGGAATCCGTAGTTTTTCAAATTTTGGGTTTTCCCCCTAGTTTTTGAATACCTGTATTTGCATATTAATAGGTAAGGGGCAGGCCCGTAGCCAGGATTTCGTTTCGGGGGGGGGGCGCTAAATTTGGGGGGGGTTCGGGGGGGGGCTGAGTTTCGGGGGGGCTGAGTCTGAGTGAAAGAGGGTCTATCCTAGCAAACCTTTTGTATCATTACCCCAATACCCCCATGCATATGGGATATATTGAGTATGGTGATCAGATCATGATATGAATAAACATAACAGTTTAAATAATGCACCAGTAAGGCCTTTTCGCGAACCACCATGAGAATTTCGGGGGGGGGGGTATGAAGCCCCCCGAGCCCCCCCCCCCCCCTGGCTACATGCCTGGTAAAGGAGCTAGTCACATGTCCAGCACTGGGTGAAGTTTTCTTTAAGGAGTCCTGTTGGGGGAAAAGAGAATAGAGATAGGACTGCTTACACAGTGTCCCAGACACTCGCCTGGCTGTGAGCACATTTCCTGCCCTTTTAGCAAAGTAACCAGGAAGGAAGGGTAGCACCCCCTTTCCCCGGGGAGTCTTCTATTCTCTCTGGTGAGGATACAGGTAGTGGCCAATTCTACGCTCACCGTCCTGGCCATTTCCGAATACTTTATGGGAAGAAGAGACACCCCATCCCCTCTGTCCCTTCACCTTCAGGTGGTGGGTTCCCCCTTGGGTGCCACTGAGGGAGATGCTTCCAAGGCTCTCCATTCTATATACTGTTTTAAATTATTAATGTTAAATAGTGAGCTGATCCATTTGGACATATCTTATATGTTCTTTTAAATCGATGTAAAACTGGTTTACGTGCTAAGTGTTTTTTACTGAGGGAACATGTTGCATTTTAATATTTTATTGTTGTTGTATCTAGGCCCATGCAAAATCTTTGCAGCAATTGGTGCAGTCACGACAGGAGGCAGCAGAAGCTCTACAGGAAACAACATCCAAAATTGCAGCCCAGCAGGTGGAGGCTGCTCTGATCACTACAGATGTTGCTCGCCAGTTACATGAGGTAAGATTCTACTATGGGTCTTTCAGTATGTTTGGCCTTTCATTAGAATTTGCATACTAAATCAAAAGTGCTTTAGTAGAAAAGTTCATTTTGCTCTTCCCTGAAGCATCTTTTTGAAAAAGAAAAGCTATGGAATGAAAAATAAATATCTGTTACTCAAAGATTTGTGTCTCCTTAAGCATGAAATCATAGGAAGTGATAGCATTGATTTAAGTTCTGTTTGTTTATCTATATAAATAAAAATGTAATGTTTGTTTGTGGGATTAACAGAACTCAAAAACCACTGGACGAATTGACACCAAATTTGGACACACCTACAATCAAAGAGCATTCTGAACCCCATCAATGATGGAATTGAACCAAACTTGCCACACAGTTCTCCCACGACCAACAGAAAATACTGGAAGGGTTTGGTGGGCAGTGTCCTTTGGTATTGGAGTTGTAGTTCACCTACATCCAGAGAGCACTGTGGACTCAAACAATGATGGATCTGGACCAAACTCTGCACAAATACTCAATATGCCTAGATGTGAACACTGGTGGAGTTTGGGGGAAATGAAATAGATTCTTGACATTTGGGTAGTTGCTAGGATTTCTAGTTCACCTACAACCACAGAGCATTCTGAACTCCACCAACGATAGAATTGGGCCAAACCTCCCACACAGAACCCCCATGACCACCAGAGTGGGCCACATCAATGCGTGGCAGGGGATGGCTAGTAAGTTATTATTTAGTTTAGTTTATTTCATCTTTTCATTATGACTGTTGTTTGTTTACTTCTGGCATTGAAAGTTTGTCATTTTTGTTATACTTTGGAAACTGTCCTGAGTCCCTCCGGGGAGAAAGGGCAGGGTATAAATAAAGTTATTGTTATTATTATTATTATTATTATTATTATTATTATTATTAGCTATATAAATTAAAATGTAATGTTCATTTGTGGGATTAACAAATCTCAAAAACCACTGGACGAATTGACACCAAATTTGGACACAATACACCTATCAGGCCAATGAGTGACCATCACTCATAAAAACACTGAAAAACACAGCAGAAGGGACCTAAAAAGCCAAAAAAGCAAAAATATGTTACAGCACATGTGCAAAAACGACTCTCCCTAGCAAACAAAATGCACAATAGAGTATCCACACTCTCTTCTGGACTACAGCTCCCAGCATCCCCTAGACCAGGCTCTTTAGGAGAGGAGAATGATCCAAATGCACTGCTTCCAAGATGCATGCTTCCTTCTCCTTAGATTACTTTGAGAGCATCCCAATTCCTGGATATTTCCAATTTCCTATTCCTGGACTGCAACTCCCAGCAAATCCCCAGATAGATAGAGATAGATGGGTAGGTAGATAGATTGATCAGGAGGGCTGCTGGGAGTTGTAGTCCAAGAATATTTATGTATTTATTATTTAAAACTTTTATATCCCGATCTTCTCACCTCTGTAGAGGGACTCAGACGGGCTCACAGCAAGGATTCAATGCTAATAATACAAACTAAAACATCATACAACAATACAAGATTAAAATACATATAGAATAAAATACATATAAGCCAAATTGCCAAGATAGAATCATGTCCAACTTACTCCACATATGTGGTCACTCACTTTGGTCTGTAACCAGTCTCAGCCATTATTCTGGGAATGCTTCGTTCCATAGCCAGGATTTCACTAGCCTCCTGAAGGACAGGAGGGAGGGGGAAGATCTGATCTCACTTGGGAGAGAGTTCCATAGCCGAGGGGCCACCACAGAGAGGGCCCTTTCTCTCGTCCCCACCAGACGCGCTTGTGCAGGTGGCAGGACTGAGACCAGGGTCTCTCCAGAAGATCTTAATGGCCTTGATGGTTCATAGGGGAGAATACATTCGGACAGGTAAACTGGGCTGGAACCGTATAGGGTTTAAGTGGTTAAAACCAGCACTTTGAATTGTGCTCGGAAGCTAATTGGCAGCCAGTGGAGCAGGTACAGAAAGGGAGTTGTGTGCTCCCTGTACCCAACTCCCATCAGTAACTTGGCCGCCGAATGTTGGACTAATTGCAGCTTCCAGGCTGTCTTCAGAGGCAACCCCACGTAGAGATCATTGCAGTAGTCTATACGGGATGTAACCAGAGCGTGGAGCACTGTGGCCAAGTCAGACTTCCCACGGTACGGGCACAGCAAGTTTTAATTGTGCAAAAGTTCCCCTGGCCACTGCTGAGATCTGGAGTTCCTGGCTCAATGATGAGTCAAGGATCACTCCCAAGCTGCGAACCTGCGCCTCCAGAGGGAGTATAACCCCGTCAAGCACAGACTGTAACCCTATGCCCTATTCTGCCTTACAACTGACCAGGAGTACCTCTGTCTTGTCTGGATTTAGTTTCAATTTGTTCGCCCTCATCTAGTCCATTACAGTGGCCAAACACCGGTTCAGGACTTGAACAGCCTCCTTAGTAGCAGGTGGGAAGGAGTGACAGAGTTGGACATCATCTGCTTACAGATGGCACCATACTCCAAAACTACGGGTGATCTCCCCTAATGGCTTCATGTATATGTTGAATAACATAGGGGATAGCTAGTTGTTGTTGTTGTTGTTGTTGTTGTTGTTGTTGTTGTTGTTGTTGTTGTTGTTATTATTATTATTGAAACTATGCCTTCTTCTTCAGATGACAGAGGTTGCACGTGCCCAGATGTCTGATGCTGCTGGTGCTTCTGCAGCTCTGGTTACCACACGATTTGACCAAGGAAGAAAGCACCTTATAAAGGAGTTTAAATCTCACAAAATGAGCAGGTATTTTATATAACATTTTGTGCATAGAATTGTAGTTGTGCAATTTTTTTCTTTTGAAGGTGGTTGCTGAGATGGGCTTTTTTCCATAGTCATAGATTGACTTGATGTAGGCCTTGGGAAAGACCTCTCAAGTGGAGTTTTGCACCACCCTCTCTTCCTCTTCTTCAGCCTTTGTAAGAAAGAATCTATGTTTGTTAGGATATGGTTGTCTAAGTATGTTAACATTTATGTACTCACACATATTGTGATCTTTCTTTTTGCGTGTGTTTTATCGCCAAATTTTTAAATTAAAAGTATTGTGGGAAACCCCCCAACAAATCACACTCTCATATTAAAAACATCCTTTGTGGTTTTCAAAGTTACTTACAATTTGTCTCTTTTTAAAAAAAGGAAATTGGAATCAAATACTGCTACACAAAGTAAAGGGGAACTAGGAGACTCAAAGCACCATTACTCCCACTCATTTGATAGTTACTCTGAATCATCAAGATCAAAGATACATGATCAGAGGTGAGAACCTAGATTTGTACAGCTAATATCAGGAATAAATCTAACAAAATAAGATTGACTGTATTTCCATTAGCTTGTTGATATATTTTCAATTTCTCCTTAATGTAGTTTGTATTTTCCCATCGTGGTCAACTGTGAATTGCACATATGGTAGTTTCTGCACCTGAGCAGATAGCTTCGGAACCTTCTAAATAGATTTGAAAACTTTTCTGGCTGTTAGCCCCACCCACTCTCCCCTTGTGAATATAAGTAGCTGGTGGGCAGGTGACTACCTCAGTTCTTCTTATCCGCCGCTATTGCAGCGGCTTAGGAATCTCTTGCTCTTTAGACTAGCTTACTTTTACAGTTATAGACTAGGAATAGTTTTGACTATTGTCTTTTATTTTCATTGGGCTACATATTTTTACCTCAGGTAAGTACGTCTTCTTCCCCTATTTGTCGTGATAAAGAACAAGATAGACATTAAAGCTAGAAATCTGTTGAATTTGATAACCAGAAGAAAGGCCCTTTGAGGGAAATACACACTGGATTCTCTGGGTCAGAGAATAAATTTGCGGTCATTTGATTCATTTGTTTCATGCTAGAGTCAGGGACAGAAATCCTTGACTTTTCTCTTTAAACATTGACATCTCCCTTAGAGGAAGAGTGCTTGAGGCAAATGCAGACTTTATTATTTGCTATGGAGTCTTCATTAGGCCATTGAAATCCATTTCAGAGAATTTCAGAATTTTAAACCTATAATTCACATTTTTTCCTAACAGCTAAATTTATGTTATAATCAATATCTTGGGCTGATTTTATTAACCATTTCTTAATTTGGGAATAAAATTAATCAACTATGTACAGTATAGTGGCATGCTGTCATTCAATATAGTTTGTTTTAATTGCTTGTCTAGGACTGAAAGTAACAGAACATTTTTAAACACAGAAAACAGTTTCATTTGCTGTGTGGACATGTCCAAACCCTGTTACAGCTTTTGTGTTATTAGGACATTGCATTACAATAAATGGGTATTTTTTTTATTTTTCTGAGAATGATAACAACATGAATGTAATTTCATTGCAACCATAATCTGTTGTATAATGGGCAGAAGCATATTATTGAGGTAAATACATATCTAAATGTTTTGATTGAATTATTCTGATTACTTTAGTAGCTTGTCTACTTTTGTGCCTCTTTCTAAAATAGCAGTAGTAGCAGCAGTAGTCGTCAAGAAAGTCCATCTGTTCCCTCTTCTAAGCAAGCGAAGAAGCTTTCCCATCATGAAAAGCGTAGCAGCTCTGTTGAAGAGGAGGCTCCTACAGCTGTGAATGATTCCCTACAGAGTAATGATATTCCATGCAATCTTGATGAAAGAGGTTAGAATTCAGCTAACAACATGAAGTGCCTGATATTCACCCATCTTTAGTTATTTGTTTGTTTTCCCTTTCTGTCTCAATGGTTCAGTGATATGAAATTAGTATAAAAACAGGCAAATCTTGCTACCTCTATTGCAAAATATCTCGTTCACAAACAGTAAAGTATCTTCATAGAATCAAAGAGTTGGAAGAGACCTCATGGGCCATCCAGTCCAACCCCCTGCCAAGAAGCAGGAATATTGCATTCAAATCACCCCTTCCATTACTATGTTTTCTTTGGATCAACCAGCCATGAAGATAAATGAAGATATGGCTTTCACTGACTTCTAATAAGTTTATACCAGCTAAATGGATGGATTACAATTTGTAGTGCTGTTGAGGAAGAGGGAAAAATTTAACCCAAGAAATCTGGGTCATCAGGAGCCAAGTTTAGATACTATCCCAATCAAACACCTTTCCTTCTTTGTTCACATGCTATTTTTATAAGGGGATTGGGGATATCTGTCCCATTAATATACCCATATCTGGCCCACTTTACCTGTCCAAATGTGTCTCTCCCTGTGAACCATCAAGAACTTTAAGATCATCTGGGGAGATCCTGCTCCATTGCAGTCGTGTTTGGTGGGGACAAGAGACAGGGCCTTCTCTTTGATGGCCCCTTGGCTGTGGAACTCCCTCCTTAAAGAAGTTAGATCTGCCCTCTCCCTCCTGACTTTTCACAAGACACTTGGCTGTGGGAGCAAGCATTCACAGAATAGACGGGTTTTATTGGCGTAAATGAGATTTTATGGACTGCAATTTTTGGACCGATTTGGATGACATTTTAAACCTGGTGAACTGCTTTTAAATGTATATTTATTATTATTTTATGTAATTGTGTATTTTATTGGTGTTTTTATATTGTTGGGAGCCACCCTGAGTCCCTCTTCTGAGGTCGAGAATAGGATGGGAAACAAATGTTCTAAATCAGTGGTTCTCAACCTTCCTAACGCCTTGACCCCTTAATATAGTTCCTCAGGTTGTGGTGACCCCCAACCGTAGAATGATTTTAGTTGCTACTTCATAACTGTAATTTTGCTACTATTATGAATCGTCATGTAAATATCTGATATGTACGATGTATTTTCATTCAGTGGACCAAATTTGGCATAAATACCCGATACGCCCAAATTTGAATACCGGTGGGGTTTGATCTTGCCATTTGGGAGTTGTAGTTCATGGGATTTATAGTTAACCTACAATCAAAGAGCATTCTGAATCCCACCAACGATAGAATTGAGCCATACTGGTTCGAGCCTCCCTCCAGCCTTGCATGCTCTCCCTCGCCCACATGCACAGAGCAGTCTGCTCTCCCCTTCCCACTTGGAGTCTCAGAAACAGCTCTCCCATTGGCTGAGAGACCAGCCAATCACAGCGGAGGAGGGCTTTTGGTGGAGGTCACAGTCTGTTTCCAAAAAGGAAGGGAAGGACAGGCGGAGATATCTTCAGCCTTCTGTGCCAAAGGGGTTCCTTGGACCATCAGAAATATATGTTTTCTGGTGGTCTTTGGTGCCCCCTTTGAAACCCCTTGCGACCCCTCTTGTGGTTGCGACCCCCAGGTTGAGAAACACTGTTTTAAATAAATAAAAAATAATGACATTCTGAACATCCTTACTCTCATTGTAAAGACATAGGTGTATTTTCCCATGGTTCTTGCAGTAAATTAACACTTTCCTTCATAAGCCTAGGCACTTTGCTACTTACATATACCATATTTCATTGATTTTGACACAATATTGAATGTGAGACGCAGCCCAATTTTTGAGGTTTAGTTAAGGGAAAAGAGTGTTTTTGATTCTAAAACGCATCCTGTTTGAGCCTCAGTTTTTAGTACTCACCCCAACTTTACTGTTTGCCTCACTGCCCAACTATTTTGGCCAGCCCTGGAAAGTCTCCCCAGCCTTGTACCTATTTTATGCTGCTTTGTCTCTGACATCACCTGCTTTTATTGTTGCTGTTACCTCCATGTTGCTGGGATTGTTTTGAGGGGGAGAGGATTAGGGGTGGTGGCGTCAGCAGCAGGGACAGCTGAGAAAGAGGGGACCTCTCTCTTGCTCTAGACATGGAGCTGAGAGGAGAAAGGAGAGAGGAGAATTTTGGGGGGGAAAGTGCACGGCAGAGTTGGTGAAATATGTAATTCTTATATTATACTTCTGCAGTTTGGGTTGAAATTCTTAGTTTGATAAGTTGTGCATTCCATCTTTTGTGAAACCGTTTGAAATCATTCCTTATATAGTGGCTTCTTCCTCTTGAATAAGTCTTCTCCTTCTTTCAGATTCTACTTCTATTGCAACAGAATACTCCCTCAAATTTGATGAATCTATGACAGAGGATGAGATTGAGGAAAAATCCTTCCGGTCTTTACTGCCATCTGAGAGTCATCGTCGGATCAATATGAAAAAACGAGTTCACCATGATTATTCTGATGAGGAAGCTTCTCCTGGAAAGGCCACATTGTCACCTGCTAAAGCAAGTATTTGACACTTTTTGGCCATGAGCTTTTAAATTGTGGTCAGTGTTTGGTTATGACTTTTAGCAGAAATGTTCTGTTTTTACATAAATGTTAGATAGCATTAATCCTACATCTTGCCTCATTTTATTCATTCATTCTGAAAGTGGAAATGTTCAGAATAACTAGACTTACTATTTCAAGAATCCGGTTTTGCATTCTTAATGTCACATTTTCCAATAGTGAGGCGGTTGGTTAGTACTTGTTGAACTGATTTGGATACTATGATAATTTATTTATTTATCGTGTCATCAGCAACCATACCATTGTATTACATTTCTAATAGAACAAAACAAACACACAGATTAAAAAAAACACACAGATTTTGCAAACTTGGTAGTTGGTTAAATGTCCTTTGACTTTGATAATTTATTAATAGTGTATTGTGTTGCTTTGAAGGTATATCTTGGAATGTTATATTAGGAAAGGTAACATTATATTAGGAAAGGTAACATTTTGCACAAAGAATCTTATTTCAGAATACTTGAACCTTAATCGTGAAATATTACATGGTCTGCACAATGTCATTCCAGGATCCAGGGAAAGATTTCTGTTCTGTCCTATATTTATTTTTAAGTACTGTATATACTTGAGTATAAGCCTAGTTTTTCAGCCCCTTTTTTAGGCTGAAAAAGCTCCCCTCGGCTTATACTCGAGTCAAGGTTATTTATTATTTTACTCTGTTATTAGTATTATTTTTATTTCATGTATTATTTTACTCTCTTTATTATTATTATATTTACAGTATTTTACCTTATTATTATTATTATTATTATTACATTTATTATTTTACTTTATTATTATTACATTTATTATTCTACTCCATTATTACTGTTATTATTGCATTTCCATTATTTTACTTTATTATTATTATTATATTTATTATTTTACTCGCTTTATTATTGTTGGAAGGATACGTAAGTACATTTATATTGAAGATATGTAATGATTTAATCAGAGTTGGGCAGTCTTATCTCAAATTACAGTTTTATGTAAATATTAAAAAACATTTCACCTCCTGATGCCTCAATTAATGTAATTTTATTGGTATCTATTTTTATTTTGAAATTTACCTTTAGTGGCTGCATTTCCCACCTCGGCTTATACTCGAGTCAATATGTTTTCCCAGTTTTTTGTGGTAAAATTAGATGCCTCGGCTTATATTCGGGTTGGCTTATACTCGAGTATATATGGGTATTTTAAGGTTGACTTTCAAGGAGGGATTCAAAGTTGGATGCAAGTGCATAAACCAGACATCTTACATCATGGACAATTTACAATCCTATGATAGACAACATTTTTAATTTTTAAAAAAAAAATTAAAGAAAAGCAATAAAATGTAATGACAAACTACAACAATGAAGTAATCCATCAGCGAGAAATCTCGTAAAGGCATGTCAAATAGAAAACCTTCAGTCTTTTTGAAATCCAGCTCTCTTAGGGCGCATCTGAATGTAGCTTGTGCCTTTCAGGAGACTGATGTGCTCTCTAGTGAGTGCTGCTTATGTTAGTAAAAGCATAAATTGGTTTTAAATGGGAATGAAACCACATATATTTTCTTTTAACAGGAGCTAAGTCTGCCATTTTCAGGAGGACAAGACAGCTTTTCCAAATTTACAATGGAAATGGTACGGCAGTACATGAAAGAAGAAGAAATGCGAGCAGCTCACCAGTCCTCATTGCTCCGTCTGCGTGAGAAAGCATTGAAAGAGAAGACAAAGGCTGAGTTAGCTTGGTTAGAACACCAGAAAAAGTAAGAAAACCTGATAATATAATGTGTTCTGATCCTAAAACCTTTTTGCTTTTCCTATCAATTATGTCAGTTCTGAATATCGAAAGAATATTTCTTACAGTTCTAGAAATTCATGTTCTGCAGGTTTGGTCAGTCTAGTGACCAGTGAACCAGTTCTGACTCAGAAGCAACTTTGGCAAGGAGCAAAATAAATTTAACTGTAGTATGATTTAAATTTGTTTATTATAATTCACTTGTAAGGAAAGAATCTACTTAATATACATGTTAATACATTGCTATCTGACGTGCCACCTTGAAATGGAAAGTCTATTGCTCATGTCTTGTGATGTCAGAATCACTGAAAAGTACAGCCACTCCAAGTATCGCATGTGACTTGGGGAAGCACATGTAATTGATGCTTGTGTTCATTGTAGAGGGTTATCACCAGAAGCATGTTAGAATGGGCCTTTGAGACTTAAGGCCTCCATGTATCTCTAGTACAAAATTATGTTGAGGTTTGTCATACAAACTGGGGACTAAATCATCCTGAGGAATTGGCTGTAATGATTTGCGAACTGCTTCCCAGGTCCATTGTGGCCTTGACACCATCACTGTGATCATTGGTCAGTTTAGCGGGTTGTTGTAGGTTTTTTTGGGCTATATGGCCATGTTCTAGAGGCATTCTCTCCTGACGTTTCGCCTGCATCTATGGCAAGCATCCTCAGAGGTAGTGAGGTCTGTTGGAACTAGGAAAATGGGTTTATATATCTGTGGAATGACCAGGGTGGGACAAAGAACTCTTATCTGTTGGAGATAGGTGTGAATGTTTCAACTGACCACCTTGATTAGCATTTGATGGCCTGGCAGTGCCTGGGGCAATCTTTTGTTGACAGGTGATTAGATGTCCCTGATTGTTTCCCTCTGTTGTTTTGCTGTTGTAATTTTAGAGTTTTTTTAAATACTGGTAGCCAGATTTTGTTCATTTTCATGGTTTCCTTTCTGTTGAAATTGTCCACATGCTTGTGGATTTCAATGGCTTCTCTGTGTAGTCTGACATGGTGGTTGTTAGAGTGGTCAGCATTTCTGTGTTTCAAATAATATGCTGTGTCCAGGTTGGTTTATCAAGTGCTCTGCTATGGCTGACTTCTCTGGTTGAATTAGTCTGCAGTGCCTTTCATGTTCCTTGATTCGTGTTTGGGCAATTCTGCGTTTGGTGGTCCCTATGTAGACTTGTCCACAGCTGCATGGTATACGGTAGACTCCTGCAGAGGTGAGAGGATCCCTCTTGCCCTTTGCTGAACGTAGCATTTGTTGGATTTCTTGGTGGGTCTGTAGATAGTTTGTATGTTGTGTTTCCTCATCAGCTTCCCTCTGTGCAGTCAGTGGTTCCCTTGATGTATGACAACAACACTTTTCCTCTGGGTGGACCTTTGTTTTTACTCTTGTGGCTTGTTCTTGGTCTGGCAGCTCTTCTGATGTCTGAGGTGGAGTATCCATTGGCCCAGTTGAGGTGGTTTATGCACCTGCTTTATGCATGTGCTAATAGTTTAGAAAAGCATGTTGAGGAGAGTTGCATTGCTATTTTTTCAGTAGTATATCAATAGTAGATCAGATACACAACAACAAATATGGGTATATATATGAAATTGGGATACATTTTATGCTGTTAATTTTTCAGGCATTTACGAGACAAAGGAGAAGATGATAAAATGCCACCTATTAGAAAGAAACAGCGTGGCTTACTTTTGAAGCTGCAGCAGGAGAAGGTAAAAATTACTTTAAATCTGATTGCACCGTGGTACTATTGGTTTATCAGTAAATCTTGTTAGGAAATTTATTTGATCCCATGTTTACACATGTTCAGTGGACATTGAATTTCAACCTTAGAAATGTGCTCCCTTTCTTTTAGTGAAGATTCTTCATTTGTTGTCAAAGGGCTCAAAGCAGTGGTATACCTATCATAGCAATCCTTTATAAATTCAGGGCTGTAATAGTTTATTAGCTGAACAAAGGAGGGAATCTAATGCATCCTGAAGTGCTCTATTTTTTGCTACGTTGCTTTCAGAGCACTGCCACCAGGATGATAACAAAAGAAGACCTTTCAATTGATTTATTGAAGAAACCTCTTCTAGGAGGCTTCCCTTTCTTAGGGCAAAGAAGTTGTGTGTGTGTGTATATATATATGTGTGTGTGTGTATGTATATGTGTGTGTGTGTGTATATATATATATATATACATACACACTTGTATTTTGCCTCTGTGTACCTTGTTGTAGGGCAGTATTTCTCAACCTGGGGTTCGGGACCCCTGGGGGGGTCGCGATGGGGTGTCAGTGGGGTCACCAAAGACCATCAGAAAACACAATATTTTCTGTTGGACATGGGGGTTCTGTGTGGGAAGTCTGGCTCAATTCCATCGTTGGTGGGGTTCAGAATGTTCTTTGATTATAGATGAACTATAAATCCCAGTAACTACAGCTCCCAAGTGTCAAAGTCTATTTTCCCCAAACTCCGCCCATGTTCACATTTGGGCATATTGAGTATTTGTGCCAAGTTTGGTCCAGATCTATCATTGTTTGAGTCCACAGTGCTCTCTGGATGTAGGTGAGCTACAACTCCAAAACTCAAGGTCAATGCCCACCAAACCCTTCCAGTATTTTCTGTTGGTCATGGGAGTTCTGTGTGCCAAGTTTGGTTCAATTCCATCATTGGTGGAGTTCAGAATGCTCTTTATTGTAGGTGAACTATAAGTCCCAGCAACTACAACTTCCAAATGACAAAATAATTTCCTCCCCAACCCCACCAATATTCAAATTTGGGCATATAGGGTATATGTACCAAATTTGGTCCAGTGAATGAAAATACATCCTGCATATCAGATATATGCATTACAAATCATAACAGTAGCAAAATTACAGTTATGAAGTAGGAACGAAAATAATTTTATGGTTGGGGGTCACCACAACATGAGGAACTGTATGAAGGGGTCACAGCATTAGGAAGGTTGAGAAACACTGTTGTGGGGGTTTAATAGAGTTTTATCTCTTGTTTTAGCATTGTATTAGTAAATGATCAGCATTAAATCAACCAGTAAAATATGAGTAAATCATAAGTTTAGGCATTAAAATACAATTTTTAAAAACACAATTAAGTCACAATATGAAGGTTGAGAGTTAAAATAGTATTAACATTTGTAACTTTAAATAATCATGATAAAAGCTGAGAAAAAATAATAGAATCCTTTGAGACTTTGACAGCATCCTGTGTCAGCAAGGTATTGCTGCTGCACAAAACCTAGCAACTTTGGCAGTAGTTTCAGGAGACTAATCAGTCAAAAGATAATAAATATAAAACCTTTCAGGTCTTCCTGGTATTCTTAGTAAAATTGGGTTGATAAAAGGTCTCAATGTGAAGTTGTTTAGTAACCTTGCCTGGCAAAAAAGGATCATTTCACTATTCCAAAGCATTGGTAGGCCTCCAGCGTCACTAATTCAAAGCATGTATAAGCCAAATGGTCTATTAATTGATCATTTTTATTTCTATATGATGTGAAATTTTCAAACAAAAAATAATATAATAAAACAATTGTTCCTGGGCTATATTAAGCGACTTTTTCTGATACATAACATTCATAACAAGCAGATATGTTGCTTCCCCAGTGAGTGGGGCATCTTTGGAATGATATGAAAATATGCCTATCCTCTAGAATCATAGAGTTGGAAGACACCTCATGTGCCATCCAGTCCAACTCCCTGCTAAGAAGCAGGAAAATCGCATTTAAAGCACCCCTGACATGGCCATCCAGCCTCTGTTTAAAAACCTCCAAAGAAGGAGCCTCTACCACACTCTGGGGCAGAGAGTTCCACTGCTGAACAGCTCTCACAGTCAGGAAGTTCTTCCTAATGTTCAGGTGGAATCTCCATTCCTGTAGTTTGAAGCCATTGTTCCACATCCTAGTTTCCAGGGCATGGGAATGTTGTGAGAATGGAGTGAGATCCATCATCACTGCCCTACCCCACAGTGCTAATCTCCCAATGGTGAGAGTGACAGGAATATTCCCTACACTTCCTGGTCTTTGGCAGCCAGATGAGGTAGGACTGCCTGTAGATTGTGAGCTGCAGACAGAAGGAGAAGTGCTGTGTGAACTCCATGAATGTGGAGGACTACTTATAGATTATGAGCTTCAGTTAAATAAAGAGGTTCATAGAAAACTGCTGTTTTGAGTCTAAGGTAGTGAGATTTTTTTTCTTCATAAACATGTATAAAGCCAGACTTGTATGATTCATCACTGAATTCTTAAGTAGACATTCTCCTTTCTAGAGGTAGCAGTGGAAAAAAAATAATTTAAAAAGTCATCAGATGAAAACTGGTGCTGTCAGGGAAGCAGAAACAGAAATCATGGGAGAAGAAGTAATAGAAGAGATGGATGAGAAAAGAAACAGAGACATTATATGCAGCAAAATGAAGGGAAAAGATGAAGATTACTACTTTTGTTTTGCTTTATTATGCTTATTTATAAAGGCTGAAATCAAGCGTCTTCAGGAGGCCAATAAGGCGGCTCGGAAAGAGAGGCAACTGATCCTTAAGCAACAGGAAGAGATAGAACGAATACGCCAAACCACTATGAAATTGCAGGAAAAACTGAAGTCTGCAGGGGAAAATAAAATGGTAAGCTGTGCTGCAAGTGCTAGAATTGTCCCTTTGGCGGCCAGCCAGTTAAATTCATATTTACTATTTCAGTTCTCAAGTAGTAGAACTGGTGTTCCTTGAAAGAGAAGAGAGGAGGTTTGTATACATTTCCAGAATAAACAATTGAACCTGAAACTATGGTTATCTTTTTAGCAAGTACTCAGTAAAATGGTAGGTTGAATAAAACAGTCAATATATAGTCAGTTTTCTGTAACTATGGATTTTGCATCCACAGATTCAGCCACTAGCAGCCTGAAAATATTCAGCCCCCCCCCCCTTGTAAAAAGCAAACATTGATTTTGCACTGTAGTATGCCATCTATATAAATAAAAATGTAATGTTCGTTTGTGGGATTAACATAACTCAAAAACCACTGGACAAATTGACATAAAATTTAGACACAAGACATCTATCAGGCCAACGAGTGACCATCACTCATGAAAACAATGAAAAATACAGCAGAAGAGACTAAAAAGGCAAAACAAATTACATTACAACACACGCAAAACCACATATATACACAAACACACATATATACACATATACAGAAATATATACACACATATATGCACACACAAAACACATACACAGAAAAGGGGAAGGAAGGAATGAAGGAGAGAAGGAAATAAAGTGAAAGAGAGAAAGAAGAACAGAGGGAGGGAAGGAAGGAAAGAGACAAGGAAGGATGGAACCAAAGAGCAAAGGAAGCGAGGAAGGAGAGAAGGAAAGAAAAAAAGGTAGAGAAGGAAAGAAGAAAGGAGGAAGAAGAGAGAAGGGAAAAAAGGAAAAGAGGGAAGGAAGGACAGAGGAAAAAAGAGAGAAGAGAGGGAGGAAGGAAGGAAAGAGACAAGGAAGGATGGAACCAAAGAGCAAAGGAAGTGAGGAAAGAAACAGGTAGAGAAGGAAGAAAGAAGAAGGGAAAGAAAAAGAGGGAAAGTAAAAGAGGGAAGGAAGGAGGGAGAGAAAGAAAGAAGGAGAGAAAGAGGGAGGGAAGGTTGGCCACAGCAACGCGTGACAGGTACAGCTAGTTGTATATAATGGGACTTGAGCATCCACAGATCTCATTGTACACATGAAATAAAACAGTGTATAACCAGTAGCAGAGTATTCACAGCACTGCTACTCAAAACACCATCTTACTTCTCAACCTGCTAGGATTCATTGTAATTGTCAGGAAGGTTTAAAAAAAAACACAGATGGTGCTCATGAGCTTACTTTTTCTGGCTTTATTTTGAGATATAAATTGACTTTTATATGTAACCGATACAAGGAGCTTTGCTGTGAAACCTAAAAAAGCCATCCTTTTTCAAATTTACATACTTAATCCGCTTAGTAAGTTCTAATGTTCTAAAAGTACAGTTTTAATAATTAAATTTTCCTTCTTGTAGGAGTATCGCAGTGAGGATGATGTAAAACAAACCCAGTCTTCAACCCCACTGCCAACAGATGCAGAGACAGGTAGTCCTTCTTCCATCTCCAGCTGTGAGACAAGTAGCATCATGCAGAAATTGAAGAAAATGCGTAGCCGGATGGATGAGAAGTAACTATCTGTGCTTATTTTATTGTTTATGGGAGATTAGATTTGAGGTTACTCTTTTCTTCAGAATTTGGTTTTGTTTCTTACAGCTGTCAAGATAGCTTGGTTTACTATCTGTTGATGGTAATTTTGCTTCGTATATTTCGCATATGAGTGAATGCAAACGTGCTCTTTCCACCTACTTTAGTTACCATCTACTTTTCTTGGCAGCAAGAGATTCTTGGGGTAGTGAAAATTCCTCCCTGACCTGCTACGTGAAGTATCTTTCAACTGGTGCTGCTGAGTTTTGAAACTGTGAACTTCTTCATGTCTTCTGATCCTGAGTCATGTATGCACTCTGCAATAATTACAGAGTCTGAATCTGCACAGATTATTATGTAGTACTCCTTACAGAATATGACACATGTCTCAAGGCAGTTAATGAATTAACATATTTTTTTTCTGTTTTGAAATTTATCTCTGGACACCAAGGGATGTAGATACTTTACCATGATGATACAAATTTATCTGAAAAAAAGATTGATTCATATTCTAGCTTCTAAAGCATTAATTTGGCCAAAATTCTGCATTTCATCCTACAGGATGCAGCAGCATAACTTCCTTTTTTCAAAACTTAATAAAACCCATTGTAAGAATCGGATTTTTTTTTATAATGTAGGTGCATACCTAAAGTTTTGTTTTACGTAGTTTTGAAGATCAAATTAGGTAGGTGACGTCCCCCATTCTCCATACACTGAGTAAACTGATTTCTGGCGTTTGTCATGACTCTTGCCAGCATAGCAGGTGTAATTTCTTCCTGGATGTTGGTCTTCAAATCTTGTAGGGTCCTTGGATGGTTCACATAAACACGGGATTTCAAAAAAACCCGTAGAAAAAAATCACAAGGGGCCAAATCTGGAGAGCGAGCCTGCCACTCCAAATCCCCCCTAATTGAGATGAAGCACTCTGGGAAGTGTTCCCTCAAAACAGCCATCAATGCTCTTGAAATGTGTGCAGTTGCACTGTCTTGGAACCAAATGTCCTCTAAGTCCAACCCATCTAGCCACGGGGAAAAAATTCCTGTAACATGTTTGCATACCGGTCCGAATTCACAGTCACTGCGACTTCATTTTCCTCAAAGAACCAGGGACCAATAATTCCAGCTGAGGAAACTGCACATCACAGGATTTTAGGTGAATGCAAAGGCCTTTGATGCAATTCTCGAGGATTCTTGTCAGCCCAGTAGCGCATGTTTTGTTTGTTGATGGATCCACACAAATGAAAATGGGCTTCATCACTAAAAAAAGCAATAGCGTCCTCAGGAACGACTTTGAGAAGAACCTCACATGCGTTCCTCCACGAATTGAAGTCACATTCAGAAAGTTCCTGCACAATCACCATCTTGTGAGGATGGAAATGAAGATCATCATGAAGAATTCTTCTCACAGAACAATCAGAAAGTCCAAGGGCAGACGCATGTTTGCGCGCAGAACGCCGTGGTGATCGCAACATTGAAGCTCTCACTGCCTCAATTATCTAATGGACCAAGGAACTCCACTTCTTCGTCTTGTCGCGCTTGCAGTTTGTCTGAATGTAGTGACCCACATCATAATTGATTTCCGGTCCAGGACAGGTGCCAATAGGGCTAAATTAAAGCGATTCCAAAAAGTGCACTGGGTTGCGATCACAGAACATCCGCTTGAAAAGTAGGCCTCAACAGCAAAAGCACACTCCTCACTGTTCCAACGCATGATGGCGACTGAACTGTGTCAGGACAAAACTTTATACTCCCGCCTCTCGAACGAGACCACTAGCACTCCGCAACGTCTTCAACCGACTGAATGGCGCACATTTAAAAAAAGGAAGTTTCCCTGCGTGGCTATGCTGTGAATGCGCACTATTGGTATCTCTCTGCGCATGCGCAGCATAGCCCGGAATTCTTCAGTTAAAGATTTAAAAGGATGGCGGTTGGCCCCGCGCACACTCCCCAAGGCACTATAAATAGCCCGCGGAAGGCTAACCGCCTCAGTTCTCTTCATCCGCGCTCACGCAGGCAGCTCGGACTGTTTTTACCCTTTTACTTCCTTGCTGAGGCTTGGAACCGGGAGCGTTTGCCGTCAGGATGTCGCAGACGAAGGGATTTAAGCGCTGTAGTGCTTGCCCTTCTAATATCCCTGACAATGACGCTCATACATTATGTATTGCTTGTTTGGGTGAGGGGCATCTGGCACAGAGTTGTGCCATTTGCCAGTCTTTCACTCCCCAAACACGGAAAAACAGGGAGATAAGACTTAAGGCGGCTCTTTATGAGCGAGCTCTCCTCCCTCCTAAAGAAAATGGGGACCAACCCAAGTCAAGAAAGGACTTACCCTTGAAAACGCTGAAGAAGTCTAAGAAGACTAAAAATGTGGAAAAAGTGAAGCCCATCACCATTAAAAAGACTGCTGGGCTCACTACAGGGGAAGCCTGGCTCGCACAATTGGTGGAAAAGGACACGGAGGCCCCCCCAGCCTCTGCAGAAGTCATGCTCCAGCCGACGCCGTCTCAACCACGCCGCGAGCGTGCTGTGCGGCCAGAAGGGGAGGCGACATTAGAGAAGCCACGCCTCGCGCGTGCGCAAGAGGCTCTTCACCAGGCTGAATCRACGCCCCCGATGCCGATGCTTTCGGCGCCGGCCCCACCTCCATCCCTCCCAGGCGAGAGGGGGGAGGAGCCKCGCGGGGCTTCCCCAGACGGCCCGTCGACGTCAGCAGCAGCTGGGAGGGCCCCAGATGAGGCAGCTCGGCGCCGCTCTCGTGCGCCTTCACGAAGGAGAGAGAGAGGGAGGCGTAGGGACAGATCCTCCTCCAGTGACTCTGCGTCGACCTGCTCAGATTCCTCCTGTTCAGTGAGGAAGCGTCGACGCGCTCGATTAGAAAGAGCTTTTTCTGTGGCTTCTTCAAAGTCATCACACTACAGAGGGCGTGGGGGAAGGGCYGACTACCCCCCCCCCGCAGGCAGGTTTTTATCAAGTGACTCCCAATGGGGGAATAGTGTTCATTGGGGAGAATGTACACCCATCTCCTGGGGTCCAGGGTAAAAGTAAGCACCTTGCACCAGAAGCAGAGGCTTCAGATCACCGCCTTATGCCAGTTGGCAGGGAATGGAGGCGCCCGCTCAGAGGCACGCTGTCTGGACATATGGACATATCGGAGCGCTCTCAAGGCGAGGCTTTCATTATAGACAATGCTGTTGATTCAGAAGCTTCTGAAGAGGCTGATGAGGCTTCAAAGGAGGAAAAGGATATGGAGCACCCTGTGACCCGTTCTGATGACTATAATAAGTTTATGCAATTGATTGGCAGGATGATAACTGCCTTAGACATTGTACTCCCGAGGCCATCGGCTGCAGTGGAAGACCCAATGTTTCCTTCGGAGGAGCAGGACACTCCAATGTCTGCTGTGCTCCCAACGTTACCTTATTTGTTGAAATTAACAAAGATCCCTGATATGTCCCCTTCTATTGCCCCCGCCATTCCTAGGAGGGTGGACATTCTTTATAAAGTAGATTTGTCAGCCGCCAAGTGGATAGCTCGCCCCTCTGCCCCCAACACCGTGGTGGCGGAGGCGGCTAAGTCTAAAAAGCCTAAGAAGTATACGGTCTCCCCACCGGATAAGGAGGGCAGAAAAGTAGACTTATTGGGGAAAAAGGTTCACATAGCGGCGGGATTGTTCACCAGAATTGCACACTATGTGACTTACCTTAGTGGTTACCAGAGTTTTTTGTGGAAGAAGATGGCTCCATATATAGATAAGCTACCATTAGAGGAGAGAAGGTTACCTCGGGCATTCGTGAATGAGGCCATACCCCTCTCAAAGTTCCAGAAGGACATTGGAAAGCATATGGCGGAATCAGCCGGCAAACTGCTGGCCACTGCAACTGCTATCCGACGTCATGCCTGGCTTAGGGCCTCCTCGTTATCGGAGGACAGCCGTTCCTTGGCTGAGGACCTCCCAATGACAGAAGAGGGACTGTTTGACCCCTCTACAGACGAAAAAATAAAACATTCAAGAGAGGTTCTACAGGCYGCCAAGTATGATTACCCTTGGCAGCCTGCATATCAACAGAGGCAGCGTTGGCAACAGCCAGCAAGRACTTACCGTAAAGGTTACTTTGGTAGTTATACTAGTAGTACGGGGTTTAAGAATTCAAACAGTAAATTCCAACCCAATAGGAGGCAGAACTACAATGCCAAGGCGAGGTACCAGCCCTATAACAGTAAGGCTAGGAATGGAGGGAATCAAAAGCGTCGTCTTTGATGTTCCCATTGTAACTGAGATTCAGAGGGACTCACCTTTGTCTAGGTCAGGAGCATCGTCAGCCACGCCCCCTCAACAATCAGTTGTATTTTTTGACAGGCTGAGGCCGTTTAGTCATATTTGGAGTTCAATAACCACTGATAAGTGGGTTCTTCGTGTTGTTAGTGAAGGTTATGCAATGGAGTTTGTAACATTGCCCCCGTTGGGCAATTTAAAGTTCACCCCGGAATCTCCACCACTGCTGGAGGAAGTTTCTAAGTTGTTGGAGAAAGGGGCTATATCCCCGCTTGACCCTAGTGATCTTCCAAATTGTTTTTTCTCTAGGTATTTTTTGATTAAAAAGCGGGGAGGGGGCCTACGGCCTATTCTTGATTTGAGGGAAGTTAATAAGTTTATTTTTTCGCAGAAGTTTCGCATGGTGTCTTTGTCTTTGATTCTACCATTGCTTAATAAAGATGCCTGGTTTGCCACTATTGATTTAAAGGATGCTTATTTCCACATATCAATGGCGGAACACCACAGGAAGTACCTTTCCTTCATCGTTGGTAGTCGGGCGTTCTGCTTTAACGTCCTCCCTTTTGGGTTAACAACGGCCCCCAGAGTATTCACAAAATGTATGGCTGTGATTGCTGCCTTCCTGCGAACCCAGGGTGTGACTATCTATCCATATATAGATGACTGGCTGTTGGTGGGAAATACTCGCGAGAGATTGAGAATGCATATCAA